GTCGCGGCAGCTTCCTATATAGCGTCTACTAGTTCCCTATACTTAGCTAGATTTTCTAAGGATAGGGAGACGGTAAACGCGAGACCTAGCTATAACTAGTATACCCCGAAAGACTTACTAGGTGCTCCTTCTCGCGCAGTATCTATATCTCTCGTAGTATCTACGTCTACGTACGTCTCTTAGCCGATAGGGATGCGGTTAATTTCGATAGTACCGCGTATCGACTCTACTAAAGAAGAAGGGAGATTATTTACTAGATAGAATCCTAGTAAGTCGTTAGAATCGAATATATCGAAATCTCCCTATTCCTCGTCTAATATATCGGCATAGACCTTATTACTCCTATCTAGCCGCGCCGCGATCTCGGCGGTTACGCTAGGTTCGTTATATATTAGAGTAGCGCTAAGGGTCGACGTCGAAAGAGTCGAGCCGTTATCGCCTATAGTATTATCTTCGGGAGGAGCGCTATCTACTACGGGCGACGCTAACGTATATAACGCAGTAGACGGCTATACGACCTAGACCGCCGCTATAGTAGATAGCGTATTCCGCTCCCGTAGTACCTAATCGAGCGTAGGAGCCGTTTCGGGCGCGTAAGTATAGTAGAGAGGCGTCTAGTTATAGCTAACGGGACCGCTAAATGCTTTAACTTCCTACCTTTCGCTATACTATATATACGTAAGTAACGATAGAGAAGGGGAGGTAGAGGACCGCGTATTGCGCTTCGAACGCTTACTTTGCCTTACGACTGTCGTCGGAGGCGTTAGTAAAGCACGCTTACGCGTAGGAGTTCGGAGTTTAGGTACTATAATTAGATAGAAAGTAATCTAAGGTATATTAGGATATTCGATATATACGACCGTAGCAGCCGATATTAGGCTCTTTAATATAGCTCCTCTACGGCTTACGGAATTGTAGTAGCCGATATCGCCTAATATTTATAACTCTATAGTTACTAGACATTTCTACTATAGCTAATTAATATAGGTAAAGTTTCGCTAACCGACCCGATAGGCCTGTTCGTAATCTGTATTTTGCGATATATTATAAAAAACACTATAACGCTATATATTTTACGTAGGGCATATCTATTTAATTACGATATATCTAGCTATAGTAAGACTAAGAGACAAGGTACAAATAGCTAAGGTAGGGAATATTAGAAAAAAGCAAATATACGAAAGTTAGCTTAGGGCGGCAATAAGAGACAAAGTACGCCCGCCTAGTTTTCTAGGTCTAAGTAATCCGTATCTCTTCTAGTTTTCTAAGTACCTCGACTACTTCTACGCTATATAAATAGACACTATTTTTCCCTTACCGCCTTTAGTATTATACCTAGACTCTGCGGTCTACCGCGTCTTTACTACCTATAAGCTCGTTGCCCTTATTCTATAGGAACTAGCCGTACTCTACTCTCCGACTAAAGTCGACGAATTTAAGTATATCGATCCTCGCGGTATAAAAGACTTGTTCCGTCGCCTCCCGACCGAACTAGTAGCTATCTAACGCGTCTATTACCTCTTCCGTATCGTCGTATAAGGCCGTATTAAAATTAATAACCTCCTCCTAGATCTAAAATAGTATACCCCGACGCGGTATAATATCTACTTCGCGCCGCTACTATAGTTCCTCTATCGCGTCGGACTAAACCTAAAAGAACTAGCCTCCCTACCTATAGAGAATCCTCGTCTGCAATTACGGATCCGATAGAACAACGTGCTCCCTTACGACGTTAAGTTCTATATATTAAACGTTATCTACGCTTAGAGGAGTAGCAACTACTTTCTATATCTCCCGAAATAGGTAAATAATACTAATAGCGTACAATCGTAGCGCCTATAGCCGGCGGCCGTCTCTAGTAGCACGCGTCGTATTATACTTAGCTTGCTGTTCTACTAGCACTTCCCTTTCCTATATAAAGGCGAATTGTGTTGCTACCGTAGTACGATCGGCCGAGATATCGATATCGACGTAGCGAACGCGCCGACGCTAGGAGACGTCTTTAACTAGATTACAGCCCTACTAAACTAGGTATGACCTCCCTAGACGCGTAGCGCCTTCTATATAATAGTAGATCGGGCGTAGTTTAATAACTAACACCGTTAATACTTTAATTGTAGGCGATATAGGCCGCTTAGAGTTTGTAACTATAGCTACTCTAAACGGCTTTAGTGTCGCTATCGCCCCGATACCCTAGCTATAGAGAAACTGTTAGACGAGACGTAGGAGGAAATCCGCGGCTCGACTATATAGCCGTTCTCTAAGCAAGCTGTAATCGATATTATATATAATTACAATTTAGGCATCTATCGGGGTTTATAGTTTAACAGTTACGTAGATATAATATACCTACCTAGGTTAGTATTACGCGAGGTCTACCTAAACGGTATACCGAATAGTTAATCGGGGGTTAATAATGCGTAGGCTATTTAGTAAATTGCGATATAGTAGGGAGGCGGTAGTACAGATCTTAGCTTAGATATCGCTCGCTCCTTTATAGTTTCTAACAACGTAGCTGCCTTTATATCTACCGTCTCTATCGCCCTTTTGTATATCGTACCCGGCCCTTATATCTGTCGGCTATGTCTTTTATATCGACTATATAAACTGTTAAGCTCGAGGCCTTAGGCCGCGATAACGTAATCGCGTAACGCTCGGCTACTTCCGCGTAACTTAGATTTCGGCCGATATTAGTCGCGTTTTCTACCTACTCTAACCTACCTTGCTTTAAATACCTTCTATAGTATATAATACCTATACCTTTATCTAGACTTAAGTACTACCTATTACCTGTGCATCTACCCTTTACGCAACGTTAAGCACCTTCGAGGTATATCTAGCGTATTAACTAGTACGAATATAGCTAACATAACCTAGATAGCGACCGCGGGCAACGCTTAGAACCTGCCTATTATCGATATAAACGCGCTTAAGACGCCGCGCGCTACCGACCTAAGGCGCTAGCCGGTCTTCTCTAGAGTGCTAGATAGTATAGAGTTCCCTAATAGCGAGCCTATTAAGGCGGATAGCGGCCTAACTGTACGCGGTACCTACGCTTAGCTACTCGAGGTACGCGACGAATATAGCGGCTAGATTATTAGCGAAGGAAACTCGGAGGAGATCGATTACTTATAAGAATACTAATCTACGTTTACATTACTAACGTTAGCTACTAACTGCCGCTAGTATATACGTCGGCTATATAAAGCCTCTACTAGGTGCTACGTATACCGTAGCGCAAGCTGTATTCGCCTACGAAATGCGCGACCTTATCTAGGTTAGCGATATAAGTAGATACCTAAAGCTTAAGCTTATCGCCGTCTAGTATAATAGCAACGTCGGCCGTAAGACCCTCTATACTAAGCAAGATCTGCTCCTATATAGTGCGCTAACTCTACCGAATAACCCTAATAAGCCTGCTTCCTATATACTCGTCGTAAACGACTAGAGCTAGGTAACCTTTACGTAGCACCTATACGACGTCTTATGCGAGAGAAACCTAAACGTTAATAACGCCTATAGTAATAACAATATTAAGCGCAATCCGGATAAGTACGTATAGTATATATAGTAGGCGATCTCGATACTAATATAGGAATTATATAGAGATAGCGGACGGTATAACTCTAGCAACCTAGTATAGTCGTAGCTAAAGTAATTAATACTATTACGTCGGAGGTACGCGTACGCGATATACTCTATATCTTCTTTATATCTATCTTTACCGTCGCTACTATATAACTACTATATCTTACGCGGCAGCTACCTATACGTAGATAGCGCTACCGGTAATCTTACGAAGCGCGATAGAATACCGCGAATCCGGTAGTACCTAAATCGGTAGAAATAAAATAAAAATAGTCTTACTCTTACCGTCGCCTATATTTTGCTATATATTTCGCTTTTCTCTTCTACTCCTCCTATTTCCTCTCTACTACTATACTACCTTTCCTATAATAGACTAACCCTCTACTTGCTACCGCTACGAAAATTGCGACGACCGCGTATACTATCTTCGCGACGTACTAGTAAGACGTATCGATCTACGCTATCCTAATAGCGAAAAGGGAGTCCCTTTCCTAAACCTTACTCTCTTCTCTCCTTATTTTCGCTAATCCTCTATTTACTCTCTACTCTCTCTCTATCGCGCGCTAATACTATACCTACTCCTCTAGTAAAGAAAGACGCGGTATAATAGGAGCGGCGTTCTAGTATATAACCGGAGCTAAGCGAGTAGGGACGTTTATAGCCGCTATATAAATAGAGTCTCCTAGCTAATTAGGTAGTCCTAAAGGTTATACCCTCGCTAGTTATTAGTATTAGAAGCTAGCTCTAGTTAGCGAAACGCCGAACTATATACTATACTATATAGGGTAAAGTTTAGTAGCCTGCCTTACGTAACATTATAGATAGGGGGTTTAATTCCCTTATTAGCTACGACCTTTTTTTTTTTTTAGATCTATATAATTATCTATATTCTACGACCCTCTAGCTAATTAGATTAGTTCTAGATACTAAGAGTTATTCGCTCGTAGTCCCTATAGAGATACGGGGTAGTAACTAGCGAGGGTATAATTTTTAGTATCGGAGGTTCGAATCCTCTATTAGCTATCCTTTTGCGCTTACGTAAGGAAGACGATCTATACCCGTTCGCGAGGCGGCCGCGAGGCCCGGGAGTAGCCGCGAATTTTAAAGTTCCCGCACGTGATTTCCCCGCGTTCTCCTCGTTCTCGTTTCGCCCGATTCGGTCAGTCCCAGCACTTGTTTTCGGGTTATTCTAACATTATATAGAATGACCTTTGGCAGTCAAATCAGGATGCAGATACCGGAATGCCAACCATCAGAGCTCACCATGCCACGCTTCAATATCACAAATCTCGAAATCTTGCTTCATCATCTGCATCGTCCATCTGTACCTTCGAGCTCATGAAAGCCTTGAAAGCCGCACACTTACCACGGACCTCGAATTTCTTCGCCTTCATGGCAGCGCCAACCATGATCTATAAGCGACGCCTGTAGAACTTGTTCTCCGTCCATAGCCCTTTCCCACGGCCTTGGAAGTCGCTGAGCCAGCAACGCTCAGTATCCTTTGACATCGATGACGTCAACTTGTCGAGAGACAGCTTCGACAGCGTGTCGAACGAGTCTTCGAATGCTTTGCCATCTCGGTCAAGCCTAACGAGCTGGATGTGGATATTCTTGAAAAACTTGGCTCGGGAAGGAGGCAGCGTTTTGGCCAATAAGCCGGTGATGCGGTGGTCTTCGAAGAAGAAGTTGTTCAGGCCGTAGAACATTGGTAAGGCCTCCTCGCAGATCTGTTTGCCAGTCCGCAAGATGGCGAGGGTCTCACCAATCGGTTCGGGGTGGATCCATCTTGTCCACTCGAAATCTACCTCATTCCAGTTCATGACATCCCGTAGAGCGTCGGGACTGTCACATCGTGCGATCAGCGTTGGCCAGGAGCAGGCACTGCCACTCATACATATGCCTGGAGCAGGGTATTTGAAGAGCATCTCGTAGATCCTGTTCCTCAGCTCTGGTGCTAGCTTCAAGAAGGGGAAGTGCCCCTTGCGTTGCGGCTTAAGCCAATACGCCAGGCAAATGCGAGCAGCACCAGTCCTGATCGAGTACCGCCTTTCATTGAGGTGGTTTAAATGCTCTTCGAGAGGGAAATCAAAGTGCTTCAGAGCCTTTGGGATTGAAGTGTGGAAATGCTTTGATGATCCAGCGATGAATCTCGTGTTCGGCCAGTGTCTTCGCAGTGCTCAGCACCAGTGCAAAGACAATTAGCTCATGGGTCTCGAAAGGTGGCTCTTCGTGGCTTAGTCGATGTGGTTTGGTGAGTGTAAGAATCTCTTTTCGCAAGGCTTGACGAGCTTCTATCTTGTCAATTGCGCCGTCGTCTCCGTCTCGCGGGTCGGTATGATTGATCGTGTCTTTCGCTTTGGCGCTTGAGTTTGCCATGCTGGACGCAGCCTTTCGCTGCCGATGATTATCGCAACGAAACTGCTGAGTAGGTTGATGGAAGTGGAAGGATGGCTAGTAGAAAGTATTGCATGTATATGTAGAAGTGACCAGAGCTCGTAGCTGCGCCAAGTGAGGGTAATTGCTGCATTGTGATCGGCAACAGTGAGCATCAAGTGAAGCATTCGAATAGCAATGTCAGCATCTGCTCGCAAGTCAGAAGTCATTGAAAGGAAGCTGTTGGTTGCCTAGATTTTCAGCAAAAATCCATTCCTACCACTTGAGGGACCTCCTTGGCGGGCGCACGACGTTCATTCGCCTACAGCCTTTTGCTACTCAACCATTCCTTGACCAGACTGGTCACTTCCTCAGGCTTCTCCAGCGGCGCCCAATGTCCACACTGCTGAATCTCCTTCCAAGCCAGATCCGGCAAAAGACCAGCTTCCTGTGAGCGTAAAATGTCTTTCCCAATGCAGACCTGATCCTCGTCCTGAGAGATGTACAGAAACGGCACGTTGACAACGATTCGCTCTTTTGGAAAGTCCTTTTCTACCGCACCATTGACATTTGCCTGGTGAGAACGATACCTGCGCAAGATCGGAGAGTCAGCGACAACTTCAGGCTGGACAAGTCGGCTTGGTTCCTCTCACCATGTGAAGGGCGAGGCAAACCCTCCTTTCTTCATCTCCGCAATCCAACGATCCTTCAAATCAGCGTTCTGAGCATACGGCTTGAGCGGTGTTTTGGTGTCATTTAGGAGATACTGTCGCATGAGACCTGGAGTACAGAACATTGTCTTCATATGGTCCTTAGAATCCCCATGCATGATCGTCCAAGCACTCTCGAGATGCTCCTCCCATATCTTAGGCGCCTCGTCGGTGACAAAGAAAGTCTGATACTCGAATCTCCGGAACCCATACGCGGCTTCCACCATATCGTTGATTTTATCCAGGTCCAATGGCCCTTCAATGCCGGTCGGCGGCATATACGGTACGGAAATATGAACAATGCCCACGACTCGATCTGGGTGGAAGAGCCAAAGCCTTGATCCAACTGAGCATCCCCAGTCGTGCGCGATTGGAATAATCTTGTCGATAGCTTCATTATCACAGATTTCGATGATGTCTTTGGCCTGAAGAGCGCCGGTGAAGATTTCGACATCAGTGGGTTTTGAGGTTCCGCCATAGCCTAGAAGGTCAGGGACGAGGACTCGGTAGCCAAGCTCGATGAAGTTTGGGGCGACAGACTCCCATAATGCTGAGCTGTCTGGCCATCCATGCAGAAAGACCAGCGCTGGCTTCGAGATGTCTGCAGATTTGGCATCCGAAATGAAGTAATGGTAGTCGGGACCTCGTGAGGTGGTAAAGTCTTTGGCAGAGAGCTTGTCCATAATATTGGGTTCGGATACTTAACACGAGATATGTTGCGAGTCCGAAGAGGTTACCTGGGACTTGTCGCTGCTCTATACTTGTTTCTGCGATCATCAGCGACAAATCAGTCGTCGTCACCTAGGCCGTACGAGGCCGTTCAACAAGGACAAGAGTGCCTCGATTCACTCTCGTTGCGGCTGAAGCAGATGAGAAATGATCGTCAATGGTGGGACTGCGGTGGATGCATACGGCACCGGAACCACGACTGGCGAGTGCTTACCACACGGAATACCGAGTACATATCCCTGTCATAAGCAGCACCAAGAGCGGATGAAGAACTGTTGATGCCGCAAGATGAGTGTTGAAGCAAGACCGAATTCACGGAGATGGAACGAAAGGGCGAGGTCCTGTTCTGAGGCCTGCTGTGTACATGCTGATCTCTACGCACAGCTCATCTAGCCCCAGCAGCCCATCTATCAAGTCGTGGCAAGAGAAATCCATCAAGGCATCGCCATCAAAACGTCCCTCAGCCGCACATAATCCACGCTTCCCAACCCGGTAACAGGATCCCAGCCATTCGCCGCGCGATACGCAGGACTCGCACCACAGCCCGAGTTATTCCCAATCTTGATCTCATTAAAGATTTTCGGAGCAGCATACAAAGCCGGATTCAAGAACCCAACCGTAGACTTGCCAGCATGAAGACGCCCATTATTGATCATGGCGATCATGGAAGCAAAGACTGGAGCAGACGCAGATGTGCCATGAACGATTTGCGTGTCGTTGTACATCGCCATCAGATAGCCATAGGCCATCATTGCGAGATCTGGGAAGCCACGGCCATCGTCGTCGGGGTCGAAACCTTGCTGTTCGAGGTTGTTTAGATGTTGGGCTTGCTCCTTTCGATACTGAGAGACTGCTGAATGCTGATATGCGGGTGCTGGGAAAACGTTGCTGAAGCCACCTGCGGAGGACAGGGTACGGTTTCCGCTTAAGGCGGTGTGGAATGCAGTTTCATTCGTCTCAGCGCAGATCGGTAAGGTCTGAGGAGAGTCATCATGTGCAGCCAACTGAGTTCCACCTACGATCGTGACCCATGGACAACCGCCTGGCCACGTGGGACTGAAAGCGCCCTTTGTAGCGTTCGACACGCCGGTAGTAGCATTGATGCAAGTGCCGGGCTCCAGTCCACTTGCGGCACCAAAATCGCCACTCGCTGCAATAACAGTCGTGCCCATCAAGCCTAGCTTCAAGAATTCGTGGCATTGCCGCCTCAAGTACTCCACAGGAAAGTCATCCTCGACGTCGGCGAAAGAGATGGAAATGACTTTCGGAGGTGCGACAGTACCGCAATCTGCACTCCGGTTGTAAGCACCTGGTCTATCATCGGGGACCAAAGGTAAAGGATCTATGCTCCCGTTCACCGCATCACAGTAAGTTTCGTCGAAAGCGGCGAGCATATTGTTCCAATTCCCACCAGCATATCGATCCCCAACTTGAATGTCGATGACTGGCATCGGAGACACGAGTGACATGACATATTCGAAGTCAAGGTTTGGTTCCAGATTGAAAGGTGGAAGTTTGTACTCTGTCTGAGTGTAGCCGCCATTGATCCGCAGCATCTCAGGTCTTCGTCCCACATCTGACGGGGAGAAAAGCTGGAAGAAGAGATCAAGGTCTTCCGGCAGCCATGTCGACCATGCTGGTTGATAGATGCCGAATGTGTTCTTTGGATGTGGCGTCGAAGGGAGCCTTGATGGTATGTGATAAAGCTGCCGCAGACATTCTGGTGCTGTGTAACGGTCACAATTGACGATCGCAGTCGCGGTGGAATTTTTGGCCGTCGTTGTTGAGACCTGTCTGCGCTGTCTACGTTTTCGCGCATCTTCCAATCCACCAAAGCTCAGCCGCTTCTCTGCAACGATGAGGTCGACATGCTTTTCGAGGTGCTCAGGGATGATATATGAAGTGCAAGCGATATTCTCCTGCCCGGTTCTGCGGTTGCTCATACGAGAAAATTCCGCCTGTAGTAGCTCACTCGCATTCGTGACATTCATGCGGACATGCAGCGTTGTGTTGTCTCGGGCGCGGAATATTCTCGTCCGATCAATGCCTGAGCTTTCCAGCCATGATACGACCTGATGTGTTGCCTCTGGAGAAGGTGCGAGATGCTCAGAGACTCGCTGCCACGACCAATGTTGACCGTACAGTGACGAATTCGGATCAGAGACTGCCATCAAAAATGCTTCACTGTCATCAAGATTATTCAGCTTCAATGCAATGGTAATTTCGAGCATTTCATCTCCGTGAGCATCTCCACCGCTCCTCCATTTCGATATGCCGTAGGGAGTCGCTCGTCGAACCGGCTGTGGGAAGGCGTTGACAATGCCTGTGAACAGAAACAGCCATACCAATAGCGTGAGCATTGCGCAGAGTTGATGGTGGAAGGTCGCAGGTGAGTCCTCCAAAACTTCAAGAATTGACTTCCGTTCATTCTTCAGTGTCATGCAGCCTATACTAGACTCATCTATGGCACATAGGCAGTGCCATGGTCTCGGCTCCGAACAGCGCACTGCATCCGTGGCGATAAGTAGACCGGTGAGCTTCGTGGGTTGGTCCTCCAAAGTGAGACATTGCAAGCTCTCAGCATTGTTGGTACAACTTTCGTTCAGCAAGGGCGTCCGCCCGGCTCCCGGCAAACGCCATCTCTGTGATGGCTTGAGAGGCGGCCTTGGCCCCACAGCTTTCACGTTGTTACACGGCACTTGCTGCGGACTTCAGCTGATCTCGATATGGCAATTTCTCGTCTCGGATGCGTCTCGAGTGCTGAATCCTTCGGCATGCTCAGCCTTGAGCAATATCGATACTGGTCAGATATGGACATGGTCGGTGTTGGCTCATGTACAGGTTCGATCCAAGCTGTTTAAGACGTTCCTGCTTGTGGAACCTGAAGCCGCTTCGAAGCTTTGCTGGCGCTCTCAGCTGGCGTTAGTATCGACTTGACGGAGACTCACCGGATTGTTATGCGGGTAGCGAAAATTAAGGCATTGAGCACTGGCTGTATCTTGAGGCAGCGACGACGTGCCCGTCCTAAGTATTGAATCCTGGCGACCAGTAAGCTCGTGCATTGTTGGTGTCATTATATTTGTCCGTCTTCAGAGAAGCTTTAATGACTGCAACTTCAATTAGTTCGAAAGCTGTAATGCTGTGTAGCCCAGCATCGAAATGCTACAGTAAGAGTCACCTCACCAGCGATCATTGGTCATCAAACCAGGGGCGGAGTACCCAGGACAATAGTTGAGTACCAACATATTGAGTCAATGATGCACGCAAGACACTGGATCCTTCCCACGAGAATGCGCTATGCGGCGAAGCTCGAGTCAGGCGAATCAACCATGGTGGTGGTCAGACGCAAAGAGCACATCGCCAAGTTGCTCGCGCTTCTCGACTAGCGTCCGTTCTGGCATACGGATATAAAGCACACAGGAAATTCCTGTCTAGTGAGATTATCAGCGTTCTCGACACATTATCTTCCAGCAAGCAGATCAAAGTCACTCACTCTCGCCAACGCCCCTCGAGCATCAGCAAACATGCAATTCTCCTCCATCCTCGCAGGCGCTATGAGCCTGGCTGTAACACTAGCGGCACCCTCGCCTTTTGGAGACAACGCTGCTGTCGAGAAGAGAGGTGCCGGAGCCGTAAGTCTGCCCACCTAACCACACATACGCTGGCATCGTCTGCCACTCAAAAACCTCTAGCTGACCAGCTCTACCAGGCAGCATGTGCTACATACTGCATCATCCTCGCCGAAGACCCGCCAGTCTTCGCAGCTTGTGTCATTGGCTGTGCAGCCACTGGCGTTCCTGAAACCGAGGGGTTGAAGCCAAAGACGTTGGAAGATGGAACTATCGTTTTCGAATAGGAGCCATAGCTAGCACGGGGTGAGAGTGGGAGAGTAGTGCAGTGCCGTATTCGATCAGCGGTGAACATTCAACATGTTCTCGGGCTGTTCCATTTCCGGCAAGGAGCTTCGTTTTTGGTGTTTTTCTCGGTCATATCGGCAGTAGCAAGTCCAAATTTGATCCACTTTTACTGCTCGCTGATTTCGCTGAGAATAATGATCCAAGACAACTTCTGCTTGTCTCTAGTCTGCCTTGCAATCCTTCAGCTAGCCTCTCACATTTATCGCCTTTTTCTTCCCTGAGATGACGTGTACCTGGCTGTGTCGGATCTGAGAGCTCTCAAATTCCTTCCAGATGTTAAGCCCATGCTTGCGATCTGAAAATGATCTGGTTTGGTGATCGCAGCGTCGTTGTGAGCGTAGTATAGCAGAATATGCTCCAAGAGCTCCGGCACAGCGAAGACTCTCGATACGGCATTGGATGCCATGGCGTTGCTTGGAAAAGCAGGACGAGAGTTTGCAAAAGTCGTGGTGAAATCAGGTCGAGGCAGATCAGCGTGAAAACTCTTTTGAAGCGCAAGAATTGGAGTTGAGACGGAGTCGTGCTGATGCTATGCTATAGTGTTGGTGTGTTAATAGGGTGTTTCGCTGTCTTGGGGTTTTATGCCACTGATAGAGTCTGTGTGGCGTACAATGTCGTTTCTAGGCGATGGTAGCCAAGTGAAGCTGGAAGAAGCGTGTGACAACTGTGAACGTATGTCCAAAGTGAGGACAGCGTCCGAGCTTGTGACCCGCGGATCAAAGCAGATTGAATGTCTGGTAGAGAATGCCGGCAAGCCTTGGGGCGAGGAATGACAATGCAAATGACGGTCACTGTACACATTACGTCAATTCGTATATATCATTACTTACTCCACCAATACCTATTCGCATTTGCGCCTTTCGTCCTCGCACTCTTCTTGCCAGCTCCAATAACTCCATTCGGAATAGTGTGACCGTTTGTGAATCCGAACTCTTGTGGCTTCGGCTCTTCTGTGAGCAGCTTCCACAAGTTAGTGATGGAGATTCTCTTCACCGGCAGCATGCTGTACTGCAGGCTGTAGAGATTCTTGCGATGGATCGGAGGTACGAATTGTCCGAGAACTAGACACAGGAAGACTCTTGGTGCAAGGTAATGCTTCCTCAGTCGCGAGCCTAGTTGTGCATATTGCGTAAAGGTCTGTGAGAGTGGAAGTGCAATGGACTGGGGTCGCAATCAGCACGCGCAACAGCGTTCATAATGACAAGTGCGCTTACCTTAAGTCTGATGTAGGAAGTCGGCGCTGTCTGTACCGGCTCTCCAGAACTGTCGGATGCTAAAACCAATGCGCTAGGGGTATCTTGTAATTCAAATCGAATGCCACCGGGTAAACGCCGGGAATCTTTGATGCGAAGCATCAATGCAAAAAGAGGAAAGTGGTTCAAACATGCCAACCACGTATCCAGTGCCGCTTTGAGTGCAATAATGGTCATGCGCGCTCCCGCAAAAGTGGCATAAAAGACAGCCACAGTAGGGAGCAAAAAGAAAAGTAATGTGAATAAGATCGTGCCGAGAAGGAGCTGGTCAAGGTCGTAGTCGCAGCTGTCGATTCGATTGCGCAGCACATTTCGCTTCTTGCCTCGGAACAGGTGAAACAATGATATGATGATCATGAGTTGCCAGTTGTAGATCCGAGCAGAGGCGATGTAGAACGAATAGATGTGGACAGTCAGCAGAGAGAGCAAGTCTGAGAACATCGAGATCGGCAGACTGGCTCCTGCAAAGCTGGAGATACCAATCAACCGAATGACATGTGGTAACGCTGGCCTTAGCTGAGACATGCAGCCATTCCAGTAGTCGATAACCCACAGGAACAGGTCGCCCAGGAAGGTGGCCAGTTCGTTGTTCAGCTTTAGACCAGCAGGATAGTCCATCAGCCAGTTGAGCATTTGCTGCAGTCCTTCGATCGAGTAGCTTGTCACTGCGCTGTCCATGAAAGCTGCAACGTAGTCGACGTTCTCGACAATGTACGATCCAAGAGCAATGCCAATAATCACATCATTCGCCACAAGCCATAGACTGTTGAAGAAACGAATGTAGTCAGGATGGCTGCTGGTGATGCTCTCCCAGTCGTTGCGACGTTTCTGCAATGTGATGTACTGGTCTGGCCAATAACAGAACTGCTGCAGACGGATATCGACCTGCTGTGCTGTGGCAGAGACGTCTTTGAGTGCAGACTGACCAAATGGCCTCCAGTCCAAGAGCACAAGCAATGCTTCTGCGCAGATGCGCAATGCCATGAGGTAAATTATGCACATCTGCGACAAGAATGGCCACACGTGCAGCCTGAATGCTTTTTTCCCTTCCAAGATGACATATTCCCAGAAGTTGCTGGCTGTCTCCACCATGCGCTCACTGACGCTCATGGTCCGTTTGACTCTCACGCCGACCATGTGGATATTCTGCTGCATCAAAGTATTTAGCTCGGCCGAGCAATTAATCTGTTTAATGATCGTCTCCAGCGCAAGCTCTTTCTGGGTCTTGGGATGGCTGATTACAGTGTGTTGTATCACTTTCTCGGCAAGTCTCGCTCTTCGCTGGCGCGCATGCTCTTCATCTCGGTCAATCATGTCAAAGGGAGGTACACTTCCAAATGCTTGCTGCTTGTCACCCAAGGCGAGTGATATGGGCAACAATGAGAAGTATTGCATTCGCTTCGGATCAGGTCGGTGGAAGATGACAATTTGTATGCTAATTTGTACTTGATCTGGGCATTCGACGCAAGGAGACTTGGTGCGCGGCGAGATATGCAATGAAAGCATCTTCGGATCGAATGTAGTCGAGGTGTCGTCGGTGTTCAGGGTGCCGAGTACCTGCAGGTCTCGATGACCGCAGTGCTTGATGAGCTTGTCGACAGAATGTGGACTGCCACGAAAGAGTGAGCGCATACGCAGAGCATACTCAACATTGCGTGGGTCTACTCCTTGCAGAATACCCAGCACAAGGACGTCCAGATCTGAATTGCGCCATCCCACCAGAACGCCTGGAAGGGTATCTCTTGGCGCGTCAGATGGCCAAAATATGCGCATTAGCTCATGGTCGTGGATGGTCATGCTTCCATTGCGGAAGCTCTGTGGTGAAGTTCAAGGGTTGTTCAAAACGAGCCGCGTCGCCTGAGCTGCTCGCGCGCTGATATGCCGGAGTCTTTCGTTCGCGGATGCTGAGATAATGGGTCAGAACAAATGTTGTGCTTTGCGAAGATGTCGTGCAGACCGACAAGATCCGACTCTCGCGCTGCTATGCGCTCGATGGGTATCAGGAGGGCGAGGAAGAAAATGGACAGAATGGCAAAACCTTTTGCTGCGCGTGTCTGCGGCAAAGCATTAGCATGACGCATGACCATATCATGTGTGAAGTATGCATACTATAACCCCGTGGTCCCAGGCAAAGATGGCAAGCTCATACAGCCGAGTAACCAGGTCCCAGCGAGCGGTGATGTAGCCGGCCAAGAAGATGCCAAATGTGAGGACGGAGACGGGGTGCATGAAGTGGTCTTTGGTATTGCCCGTGGGCGTGGGGCGTGGGCGTGGTATTGGAGTTCGGTTCGTGTTTGGCGACGCGCGTGCAGCCTGGGGCAGAAACTTAGCTCCCGGCGATCGATAGCTCTAGGCGGCGGCGGCGGCGGAGAAGGAGTGGAGGCAGTGAAGCTGGAGATGCTAGAGCAGGCATTGGCGAGACGCAGACATCGCACCTGCCTCTGCCTCGAAGCCGTGAAATCACGTCAGGCACAGTCTGGTTGGAGGTGGAGGTCCTTCCCTCTCCGAATCCGAAGAAGCAGAAGCACGGCAAGGTACGCTAAGAAATAAGCTTCGTGTGGTCTGTGCGGGTCCGATGGTGAGGCCAAGGTAAAATGTTGACCGCAGGAGGACATGTTCCCGTCATTCGCACACATATTGCTAGACATCACAGGCAGCCCATTCGAAGAGGACAAGAGAAGGACATCTGACACGTGGATCACACGCGTTTCTTTGTTCAATAAGCGCCACCAATCCACCAAGCCTGATCATCCACGAGACTCCATAACAAACAGTGAAGCGATCTAGCTACAATTGCACCGACTCGTGTTGAAGATCAAATCTGAAGCCGGACTGGAGACGATGAATGCGAGACTATCTGCGCGTCAGCGGTAGTGAGCTACAGCGTGGCGCAACGGCGCGACCATGGTGGTCTGCAAGTTCTTCCTGGAGGGAAGATGCAGGTTCGGCGGTAGGCGATCTAGCATATCTTGTGGATTGGCATAGGATAGGATGCTGAGACTCGACAGACGCCTGCAAAAACGAACATCCGCGCAGTCAGAATAGCTTTGCGGCTCTGTCAAATTCTAGCGCTGGATTTGGCAGTCGCCCACGCTCCGGCAATGCACTTGCAGTTGGTAAGTCGAGATGATGTGCCTTCCGCCTACTTTTGCGATTCCTCCCACCCTTCTCTCGTGAACTGCCATCCTCGACTTTCTCAACCACAAGCTCACAAGTAACCCTTTCGCGCACTGACATAATGCCAGCTGCCCAAGTTGATGGCGACAAGGCCAGAATTCTCAAAGATGACCTTACCGTCGATCGCCCAATATGGCCCTTATCCTGTTACGCTGGACCGTTCGCGAGCGTGACGCAACATCTCATACAGGCCAAGTGGGATCCTAGCAAGCCGCCCACGCATCCAGACCAGGGAGCTCCGGAATTCAGTCCTGAAGAAATGCGATACAAGTTCTATCTGGCAACCGCCAACAACCAGCGCGATGCATATGTGGGCATTTGACCGTGCCTTGCAACGGAATACTGAGATACTGATGACTTTGCAGGTGAACTGGGAAGCGACAGTGATGCAGAACCTGAACAACCAGGTCAACAGCATACTGAACGACATTCCAGGTGCGCTCCGCCACTGCCAGAATACAGCCATACCCGACAGCGAAAACCGTAACAAACAGCTTATCGAGCCCACGGGTCGACTAAGCACTACCCAGCCACAATCGAACGGATTTGGACAATCATCGCAACCCAGCGGAGGCTTCGCAGCGCCCGCGCGCCCGGGCTTTGGGGCAGCATCAAGTCTGAATGCACCAAAACCTGCCTTCGGAGATCCGTCAGCGCTAGGCGGCGGATCAGCATTCGGGAAACCGTCTGGCCTAGGCGGTAGCGGAGCCACCTTCGGACAGCCTGGTGGTGGAGGAGGAGCTTCTGGCTTTGGTGCAGCTTCGTCATTGGGACAGCAAAGCAGTCCATTTGGCGGTGGAAATCAACAGAAACCATCTCCGTTTGGTCAGCCGGCTCAATCAAATGGAGCCTTTGGTGCTCCGTCACAACAGCCTGCATTCGGCCAGAGTGCTTTTGGAGCTGCCGCCGCAAAACCAGCATTTGGTCAGGCAGGAGGAGGATTTGGAAACACGTCTGCTCCCACCTTTGGTCAAGCAGGATCAGGCTTTGGAGCTGCTTCTAAGCCAGCTTTCGGGCAGTCGTCATCGCCATTTGGTCAAGCTGCCCAACAGCCAGCAGCTAGAGGGTTTGGCGGTCAGCAGCAGCAGTCTAATGGCTCGGCGTTTGGGCAGCCCACTGCTTTCGGTGCCAACAAGCCGTCGCCATTTGGGGCACCGCAGCAACAACAAAGCTCGGTGGGATTCGGGCAAGCGAGTCAACCGGTAGGCAGCAATTCATCGCCATTCGCTGCACCTGCGTCGACAGCGAAACCCAATCCGTTCGCCGTGCCATCTGCTCAGACTACCCAGCAGTCCTCTTTCGGTCGGGTATCACAGCCTTTCGGCGCAGCTTCGGCAACCGGCCAAACCCCGTCCGTCGCGAATTCGACCTCATGGAAAGGAAAACGCATTGTCTACAGTGACAAGGATCCGGGACACAAGAGGCCCTGCTACGAAGTCCCTGACTCAAGATTTGCAACCACCGGAGGCAACAGATTGGAGCGGATCTGGTTTCCAACGGGCCCACCTCCTGGACCAGCATTCACCGCCGAGGCTCTCCCGCATGTATATGAGGACCCAACTATCGGGCCACAATTGAGAGAAGTATACGAACATGTCAGCAAGACCGGACTTTTCAGAGACGGTCTCATACCCGAAATACCGCCCAAGAAAGAGTGGATCAGCTTCGACTTTTAGGAAGACGAAGGGTGTACATGTCGCAAGGAAGAAGATCTGAAGAAAGACTTGAATAGACACGACGCGACAGTCGTCGGTGCTGAAGAGAAATCGAATAGTAGCATCAATACACGGACAGCACACGCAAATAGCTGTGAAGGATGCGGAATCACAGAAGCAGACATCTTCGGACCACTCAAGCAATGTGGGCGTTGCAGAACATCACTATACTATGGATATGCGTGCCAGGAAGCATCATGGAGGAAGCATAGCAAGGTCTGCGCACCGGCCGTCAAAGGCCTCACCTGCAGCTCCAAGCCACGTTCCGCTATTGCAGAGCGTTTCAAACCGTCTTCAAAACCAAGAAGTGCCGCAATACCAATCAAGGCGCCGGTGACTGCGAAGAATCCAGGAGATAAGGCTGTCATCACAGCACAGCCGAGCAACGTCGCCATCGAATCGGCGCCTAAGGCATGTAGCCTGACAGACATCACAAACACAACTCCCGCACAAGAGGAATTCTCGTATCCGTACCGCCAGAAATCTAGCAGGTACGAACAGATGCCCATGGAGAACATACCAACAACCATGACGTTTGAATTTGAGTACCAGCAACTCGCTGCGATGCGAGACTGGCATACGACACAGCTGCTTCTGATTGAGTCCATGAGACTGACACGTGAAATCGCCGAAAGCTTATGCTTGTTTCAATCATCGCAGTCGATCTTTCAAGGACCGATCTGGTGCGAGAAGACTTTACAGGCTGCGACGGAGACGCGGCGTATGAGCAGCTGGGAGATAAGCGTTGCAGCTGCAGTTGCAGCAGGTGTTGAATTTCTAAAATAAGAGATGACGCTTCGCTATCGTAATAGTGGTAGAATTGGAAGTCATAGAAGGAGAATTTTGTCTTGATGCCGCATATGCGAAAAAGAGTCCCGATCGAACGCCTGGCTATTCTCATCCCTTCGCGTCCCACACCCATGCTCATGTCGTTCGTAACCAAAGAAAAGGTGCATGCTCGCATACATGCTCTTGCTTAGACGCTCGTCTCGGGCCTCTCGCCTTCCGCCACAACAGCAGTGCCCAGTCCTCGATCTGGACTCGATCTCACAAGCGCCTCCTGTCTCCTCGCCTTCATGAAGTCTGACGCTGCTCTGATCAAGATAAACCATCCCAAGATCATGAGTATGTATGACAGCCAGTCGCTGGTAGTGAGACCACCGCTCACGGCTCCTCCAGTTGGATCTCCGCCTGTCACAGCGTTCGGGTCGAAGTCGTGGGCATTTGGGTCGTCTGGCATGCCGTCTGCGCCACCATTTGGCATGCCGGGTTCTGAAGGACCAGAGCGATCTATTGTTGCTGCGTAGCGCATTTGAAAGCCATATTGTACCAGAGTAATTCCGAGACCGAATCTCGAGCCGTGTTTCGCTGCGTGTGTGGTGTGGAGGAGGTATGTGAGTAGGAAGCCTATTAGTTGGAAGGAGAGGGAGATTAAGGCATTCCAGACGAAAGAGAACAATGAACCAACAAGAAGCCCGTCGACGAACACGTCGTCCGGGTTTCCGGTGATGTGGTAGGGTGAGAGGACTGTCGTCTCCCAATATGGCGGTGTCGCATCTGCCGCGGCCTGCTCGTAGGTCGGTGGCTTTTCCTCTACATCGTCGCCTGGTCGAGGCTTTGCGCTGATATTGGAGAAGACACCGTCGGTCTGCCCTGCACCGATTACTCTCCCGCTTGAGGAGCCCGGTGCGACGGTGGGGAATTGTGTCACCTGCCGCGCTGGCCCGCCTGGTCTTGGTAGGGTGGGGCTTTCCACGGCCGAGTTTGCCTCAGTATTGTGTATTAAGCGCCGCCTGTCGCGGGCATCTTCGTCGTCGCTGTCGTCGTCAGAGGGTGCGGCAAAGGCATCGTCCAGGTCGTGGTCTGCTTCGGCGCGCTGTGGTTGATCTTCCCGAGATGGTCGGCGCGATGACGCACGGCTACGGAATGAGGGCGGTGGGGAGTTGGGTACTGCTGGCGGCGAGTGCTCTACATGATCATCGTCGTCTATGGCGGCGACCTGCATAGTTGTTCGTTAGCGGGTCTATTCGCGGTATGGATAGTGGTGCCATAGTGGTAGGGAGGCAATTGCAAGGGCGCCTATTACGTACCCGCTGATAGCCACTCATTGCTGTCGCCAATACTGTGCTGTTCGATACCAGTGTAGAGAAATCCTGCGGCACGTTTGCAAGTATTTCCGAGATTTGCAGCGTGAGGAAGTTGGGTAGTGAGCGTGGTGGAGATGTAGGTGGTCGTGGCTGAGGACTGAGGATCAGGTGCCTGCTGCGACGTTTACGTTTAAGGTTGGAAGTCAGTCGACATGTGGAGCCCCTCGGAGGTTAATTTGACCCCTTAGTCAGCTCGGCGCCTGCCTCGCCACATTTCCATGTTTCTTTCAATAATATTTGCCTTTGACGTTGTGCACATCACCTCACATTCACCAGCAAAGACAGTCTAGCCCAATCAGCCAATACTGCTGATGCATAATTCTGAGCAAGAGACTGTCAGGTTGCAGGCAATCAACCATGGACGACGACGATGAGATCCTGTACGCACCCTGGACACTGGCGTCATGCAATTTCAGACATCGCTCACACGTATAGTCAACTTCCCGCGGACACCCTAGCAGCACTCGCCGAATTTCATGCAGAGCGTGATGCCAAAGCAAAGCAGTTCGAAGACCTCAAAACGAAAGCCGAGGATGAGTTCGCAAAGGGCACCGGCAAGCTCAGCATGGACCTCTTTGGCGAGGACTGGAATGCTAGCCAATTCTGGTACACCGACGACACTGCACGTCTTCTGGCCCAGCAACTGTTGAAGGAAGTTACGGATGAGTCTGCTATTGCTGTTGTGTCTGCACCTAGCGTATATGTGGCGCTGCGGAACATCCTGGCAGAGGACGAAACGCTCGTCAGGCCGCAGCTATGCCTCCTGGAATTCGATCGGCGGTTTGAGGTGGTCGGTAACGATTTTGCATATTACGACTTCAAGCAGCCACTTCGCCTACCGGCAGAGCTGAAGGGCAAGTTCGACCGCATCATTGCCGATCCGCCATTCTTGTCCGACGAGTGCCAGACAAAGACGGCTCTTACGGTACGTTTCCTTGCACGGCGATGGTCAAACGGCAGTGCTGGCGGTCTCCGTTTCATATCGTGCACTGGTGAGCGGATGGGATCCACGATTCTTCGACTGTACGCCAAAATTGGCGCGAAAACAACCACGTTCGAGCCTGAGCACAGCAAAGGGCTAAGCAATGAATTCTGCTGCTATGCCAACTTCGAATGTCAGGACTGGGGATTCCGAGAAGCGTAAGAAGGAGCTAGGAGCTACTCTGTATGGCTGCAGAGCAGAATTCTCTATCGCTCTTCCAACATCTGCAGCCCCCAACCCGAGGTCATTTCCAGGAGGCTGGGTGTATATTGCGACGGCACGTGTATCCATCTTGGCATCGTCGAAGTGGGCCTTGATCATGCAATTTGCCGAGTCTCCGCAAGATGCTGCCGAGCTACGCCTCCTTCGCGGAGTCTTCGGTCCGCGCATAAAGCGCAACTATTGAAGCAGTTGCAGACCTCATCGGAGCATGCCTTCGACTTGCGCAAGAGACGCTGTGCAACTTCTAGCGACGCATTCGCGGACCGTCTGCCAAAGGCAGGCACTTGCACGAAATCAGAACATAACTTCTTTGCCGGATATAGTACTGTACAACAATAACGATCTCCTTTCGACTACTACCCTCGGTTGATTCTGGATATTGTACTTAGTCTGAACACATTCTGCAGCACCGGCTCTCTACTCTCTGCCTTGATGATTGGGGCAGCCATGCACAAGATTCTGAAGAAAATCAATCACGAGCCGTGGTGACACTGCAGATTAAACAGCTCTGGATCTCCAGGTCCTGCATTGCAGCTCGCAAGCGCGAACAATGTGACTTGATCAACTTATCAATAAATATGAGTACGAGTCGATGCAGTGGCGAAATGCCACAAAGCGCAAAGAAGCCACTGAGCCATCGGAGCCTTGCGATGCGATGCACTCTCTTTTCGTCGCTTCGCATCGCTTCCAAACTCACGGAAACACCAGCATTTCGGTTGGTAGCTCACGAGTCAGGCAGAAATGCTGAAACGTGAAGATAAGAGTGGCAGATTTTCCAGGTAGGACCAGGCTGAAGCACGAACTTCCACGGATCTTCGACTGCGGTCTCATGTCAGCCAGATCGTGTGCTCGAGCAGCGAGCTGGAAGTGAGCAGCCGTTTGCTGTGGCCTGAAATAGCCATGATGCTGCGAATGGGTTGCAAGGCCAAAAATGTCCGTGTGAAATCTTACCCACTGGAGACCGCAGCTTTAGGCAGCTACGCAGTTGGTACGTCTGTCCCGACTGTCCATCGTTTGGTGTGTAGCGTTGCACAGCATATGCATGAGCACATGAACCGGAGCGCCATTAAATCATGCCAAGCGAGCTGGCTGAAGATAACAGGGGAGAAGGACAGAAGGCGCCATGGGCGGCAAACTGCACAAGCAGCATGCATAACGCATGCAGAAAGCGAACAAATTGAACACCCAAATCCTGACTAGAGAAAGTGCATGACGACTAGGTGTGGATGCACAGCTTACTGACCGTTGAACACAACTCAAGAACAGCCGCGACCGCACGATTGCCATGTTCTCGCCTCCGCACCCAGCATTTGCCATGGCACTCCGCGAGTCTGATGAAGCAGCGCTGTTCGCTGACTTGCATTTGCATCATGCATAATCGGGGCGCTTCCAGACCACATCACCTCCAAACACTACGCAGCTTAAAGTAGGTATTCCGCCAAGTCTCACCGTTTCCCACCATCCCACCAGCTCGGATCAGGACCAGGTTAGCACACGAGCAAGATACAACCAGACACGTGCGAGGACGAGCACGCGTAACTACTGTACATCCGAAGAGCAGCAACTGCTTCACACAGCAAAGCGCAGGACAGGTTAGGGCCATTCGGTCATGTTCGGATCCAAGATAGCAAAGCTCCGTCTCCTTCTCAACAGACGAACGCGACTCCACAAAAACCAGAAATATGGATCTCGTCAACCTCCTCCCTCATTTGAACAAAGCGGGGACGCACTGCACGCATTCAAGCTATGGCCTGAGTGCGCACACGACGACCGCAGGTTACACGACATGCTCTTCTAGCTTTGAGATCCGGTTTCTGTGCACGAGTCAGCATCACAATCGATCCTTCTCCTCTGATAGCGAATGTCTGCTGAACTTGGGGAAATTCGGCAGGCAGCATGAAGAGATGACATGAATCACCGTCATGTTCGTGAAGAGTGCGAAGTTGCAAGATGTGCGATTTGACGATCAAAGTGTCCATTTGATGAGTTCTCCGGTCCCACATCTCCACAATTCCATCTCCGCCCGTTGACGCCGATAGCGCCAAGAAATACAACCCGATGCCGATGCCATAGGCCCCGCAAACATGTTTCTGTTCTCACAAATTTGCTTTCAACTCCAGTATACATCATGGATCCGCTTCACTGCCATTCTAAGCCATCATGCCGGACCATTGCCCTTCCTAGAGTTCCGAATTCGTGGCGACCGCAAACTAGTGCCATGCCGGCTACGGTTGCTCTCTCGGTGCGAGATCTTCGGCTTGCCGAGTTCAAGAAGCAAAAGCGACGGCACTGTCTTTTCGTGGAGCCTCACGTGTCTAAAGCAAAAAAAATTCTCAGCTCAACCCCATTACGCAATAGTTTGGGTACCAGACTGTACTGTACACACCTGACTCCCATTCACAATCGTCGGCTCCATATTCGTTCTCCGCTGCGCACCCGCACTCGCCTGCGGAGGTGGGGCGACGACTGTCGTTTCCTTGTCAGGTCTGACGCGGAGTTGCATAGACATGAACTTTTGACGATCAAAGATCTCGATCGCTTCTTGAGCGGCTTCGGCATTTGTGTAGAGAATTGTGGCATTGCCTTTTGACTTTCCCGTCGACGCATCTTTTTGTAATTCGAGTTTGACAATTTCGCCTGCTTGGCGGAAATGTCTTTCGATGTCTTTTTGTCTGGCTTTGAAGTCGATGCCGCTGACGAAGATGCCTCGGGCTTGGGTTCGGACTAGGCCGCGAGTTGTGTTTGTGGGTAGGCCGGTTGTGCCTGTTGTGTAGGTCGGATATTGGGATGCCTGTATCTGTGCTTGGCGGGTCTGGTAGACTTGTCTGGCTTGCGCGACGTGCGCTTGATTTCTGTAGTCGAGTGACATTGTGGCCATCCATGCCGCGAGTTGCTCGAATGTAGGTTGCGGCATCGCTGGGGGTGGCACGGGTGCTGATACTGGTGGAGCCATGGTCGGTGAAAAGTAGCCGGGTCCCGGAGATACCGGATATGATGGGTTGGGTGCGCCCAGAGGGGAAGTGGGAGTGAATCTTTGCCAGCCTGGCTGAGCTGCCATTTGGAAGATTCGTGCGCCGGAAGGATGTGATTGAGAGTTGCTTGCGCAATTGCATCGAACGAATTGAGCTGGGTCATCGCTGATGTCCCACAGGTGGACTGTAAGGCATCGATTCTCGACGAGGTTCTCGGTAAGGTATTCTGTTCCAATCAGTTCTCAACCTGGATCATTCAGTGGTTACCACTCACTGTACAATCGAATGGCTTCATCTTGTCTTTGCACGCGGGCGTAGCCCTTGCCACCAGTCTGTCCGTTCGGATAGACCGCCATCTCCGTCCAGATGCCATGCGCAGCGTGGCGACGAATTAGATCCTTTAAGTCCTGCCATGTATATCGCTTTGGCAGCTATGGTCTTGTCAGCAACAGAACTGTGCAGTGCTTGGGTACGACCTACATTCTCGATGTGAATGAAATATGGTCCGGAGCCTCTCTGGGCGCCATACGATGATTTTGACATGATTCACAAGTATCCACCCAGTTCAAGTGCTGCAAGCAAAAACGCTATTCCCGAAAGATTTTCTGCGAGCCAAGACGGAAAGGTGCTGCTCAGATTGGTGCGAGAAGTACAACAGGTAGGAGTTGAAACGAACGATTGGTTATCAGTAGAGTGTCTGTGAAGCTGTGATGGTGTCGAGGGAACACAGGCGATGCGTGGTGCTCTTAAATGCTATGCCAGCTCACGAGTCATTCAATGGTATGCTCCAGGTTTGCGTCTCACAGATCTTCGAAAGGAGCCACGATGCATTAATTCGACACGTTGGCGTTGTACTTCTGCATGGCTCTTCAGAACTGGGACCGGCTACAGTGAAGAGTGCTTGAGCGGCTGTTAGTATACCACAACAAAGGACTGGCCTGGATCTAGTGTCAACGGTCATGCGCATGCTCCTAGTCTGTGCGTACAGGTACTTCCACACAAGAGTATTCATGATTTTTCATAGGATCGCGCCTCACGCGAGGCATGTGAGCTTGGACGCAAGTGCAGAGGTTCCAGCAGATTAACTGACGCCAGGCCGCCAATTCCGAATGCGGTGGGCACCGATAGCGAGTAGCGGCCGTTGTGTGGATTTTGGCGTCAGCCAGGGTCCAAGTGGATAAACAACCACATGCAAAGCTGACGATCTGAGGTTGTCACTGATCAGCAGGAGAGCGCTCGCCAGTGGCCCAAGCTTGAGGCCGTAGCGTATCGGGATCGCCAAGGACTGGACATTGCCGAGTGTGACTTGTCATACGCACTTGCCGCGGTCGCATGGCCAGAGCGTGTGATAGACGGCTCTAGGCGTGACGAGACACTGCGGGGCGTGTCTCTGGATCTCAAACGCGCACCTTTGCTTTCAACTGGGTCCTAGAGAGGACGCTTGCCATCGGAGTCCAAGAGGACGTGCTCGAGGCCGAGTCCGACCGAGCTTTCGGTATAGTGTGGCCCGTGTCGTCGGCTGAGAGATCTCTTGCCGGAGCATCGACAGTGGTAGACCGGCGCGCACGCAAGTTGGTTGTACTGTGTTGTCAAAGGTAGGAGCCACATCGACAGATCGAGTCACATCTCCTCTCCGCTTACCCACTTCTACCGCCGTGCGTCTGGAGAAGACATGTGCGATTTGGGTGGAGCGTTGGGGGGGCCCTGCGCCGCGCGGTGGAACGAGGAGCGAGTTCTCGAAGCAGACTCCTGGGCCGAAATATGATCCAGGCTGAGGCGTGAATGACGCGCACGCCACTAGACAGTGCGATGCAGCTATGCGCAGTCGGCAAGTGAGTGCCACCGTATTGAAGATGTGTTGTCGAGATAGACATCTCCTAGGCGAAACTCTGCTGCTGGTGAAGCCTCAGGCAGAGACTTGGCGTGTCCCATCGGCGGCTCTACTGGCGTCTCGAACTTCCTCTGCTAGCTGGCCTTCTGAATGCCGTCCCAACATTCCCACGGCCTTCGCTCTGGCCGGCGACAATGGACGATGCGTGGTTCCACACGCTCACTTCCACATCGTCTTCCTCGACGACATCTTCCAGGCCCGCTCAGCACAAGCGTCGCACGTCTCTCCTCCAGCAGCCGGTAGATGTAAGCCATCCCTGTGACGTAGGGCTCTCCTCCTACCATTCTGATCGCGGTGACAGGTGGAGGTGAAAGCTGATGTGGCGATAGAGCCTATTCAGGAAGTTGCTGAGGAAGAAAATGCCTGGAACGGACCGCCCAAGGCATGTCCCGCGAGACGAGCCCAGAGTTACAGCGATTTCTACTTTGCAGTGACCGAATTCAGCAGAAACGAGGCTGTGTTACAGAGAAAGAGCAGTTTGGGCCAACAATATCAAAACTTCCAATCAGAGGCGCCCAGGGAACTAGATTTTGAAGCCGAGTTTGGCGCTATTGAAGATCGGCTGCTTGACGAAAGCCATGCCGACTATCAAACATATCTGGAGCAGCTGGAGCTGTCTGACTCGCACTTGGACAACCTACTCTCGACGACATCGAGTACATTGGATCTCCTATCCACTTTGTCAGACTCATTCCGAGCTGTAGAAGCGCAGACCGAGGCTTTCCGACAACAATGCGAATCTCTCGTTGCGGAACAGAGGCGGCTAACTATGCTGGCCGACGCCATAGACGAGAATGTACAATACTACACGTACCTCGAGCCGATGACAAGAAGCCTAAATGCGCCTGGTGCTGCGAACTTGGTCAATGGCAAAGACTTTCCAGAGATGTTGTCGCACCTCGACAACTGTCTAGCGTACATGGAGTCGCACCCGAAGCATAAAGAGTCCGCTACATATCGAAGTCGCTACCGCTTGCTGTTGACGCGGGGCTTGACTCTGATCAGACACCATTTTACCAAGTCTCTTGGAGAGATTGCCTCCGACATCAGCAAGCGCATACAAATTGGCCAGCTCAAAGAGACAACGCATTCTGCCTTGCTCTATGCAAAATTCCGCGTTCCTGCTCCAGAGCTTAAAGCGCTTGGTGTGGAGATACAGAAGAGAGCGGTGCCAACTCCAGATGACGTTGATGCAGGAAGAGAGCCAGAGTATCTGAGTCTGCTGCGTGAACTCTACCAGTCCTATTCTACCACTAGAGGTCGACTTATTCTGCCACTGGTCGCAAAGAAAATGGCAGAGCTTGCAGCCAACCCTCAGCAAGCCGAGGTCTTGGCATTCGCAAAATCTAGCCTGAGCTTCGTGCGAGGCATTTGCTTAGACGAGTATGACCTTTGGTTCGAGTGGTTTGAAAGTGAAGGCGCGCTGTATGATTTCCTTGAAAGTCTCCTGGAGCCGATGTATGACTACTTGCGCCCTCGGACGATCCATGAGACGAAGCTGGAGAAGCTCTGCGATCTGTGCGCCATGATACAAGGTAGGTACATGGAGCTTGATTCTGAGGAAGAAGATGATGAGGCAGAGCATGGGCTCATGAGTCCATCTGTGAACGGACGGCCACTTGGTAGAAAGCTGGATTTTGCCGCCCTAGTCCAGCCTGCCCTTGAGGATGCGCAAACAAGACTGGTCTTCCTTGCACTTAACGTTCTACGAGATGGCATCGAGCAATACAAACCAAAGGCCGAGGACCTCGATTTCTCGGCTAAAGCAGTTGTCACTGGCGCCAATGGCAACAAGAAAGGACCGGTCCTCTCTGGTAAGCGGAACGCATCTGTACCGTCAACACCTATACCAAAAACACCGACTGTCGTCGACGCCGAAGACATCGACGATGGCGAAAGCATATTCAGCAGACAACTTGCGGATGATACATCGTCATCGTCAAGCCGGCATTGGTATCCTACGCTGCGCAAAGCAGTATGGTTGTTGCGTCGCATCTACAGACTTGTCAACAGCACAGTCTTTGATGATCTAGCACATCGCATCGTGCACTCCACGATCGCTTCACTCATCTATGCAAGCCAGCAGGTCTCGTCGAAAACGACCGCGCAAGACGGCCAGCTTTTCTTAATCGTGCACCTGCTTCATCTGAAACAGCAAATCGTTGCCTTCGACATCGAATTCATCCCTCCAGAAGTAGAGTTCGACTTTTCTTCCGTCACGAACACCTTTTACGAGTTGCGGGAGCGCGGCAGCCTTTGGAACCCGGCGTCATGGGTTCGGCTTGTTGGCGGTGCTGTGGGTGGCGGCCTTCTCCCAAAAGTGGTCGAGAACATGCTTGATGCGAAAGCTGAGCTCGATGGACGACTGCGCACTGTCATCAACGACTTCGTCAACGGATATGCAAGCCACATCACTGCCCCAATAGACTCCGCGAGCTTGGCGCAGGCACAGAAGAACAATGATTTTGATCCTTTGAAAGCTGTCAGGACTGTGCGGGGTCTCGCCGAGAAGGACGTACCAGCTCTCCGCGCTAAGCTTGAGCAATTTTTGGATGATGCGCGAACACGGGAGACTCTGGTAGCCGCTGTGCGAGATCAGGTCATCATGTCCTACGAGGAATTTTTCGACTCTTATAGTGAGGGTACTGGCAAAAAGTTGAGCCGCAAGGGCAAGGCGAGGGAGGATGAGGTCATGGGTCCGGAGTTATTCAATGATGCTATGGAGCATGTCTTTCAGGTTGGCCAAGTCGTGGGCGATGACAATGATAGCGTAGGAAGTGGTGGCATTAGCGATTGATCCAGAGCATGATAAAAGCTACAACGTGGATACGATCAGAACAGTCAAACTCTTTCACCGTTCCCCCTTAACAACCTTGCGACACTCCACTGACACAAGTTGGCCTTCTCGGCCAACAAAGGATATGCACTTGCTGATGCGAGACGGAAGAACAAGGTAATACTAGTATCATACTCGACGCGCCACAGAGGTGTGGACTGTCTTTTGTCTCCTCGACACGTTGTCTTGAACTAGAGTCATCCCAGCAAAGAGACTCTGCCTATATACGTCGAACGTCTTTGGGAACGTGATCAAAGCCATTCGCCAAGACATGTGCTGCCTTGCGAGGTAGTCACGACTCAATGCTGAGATATCTGGATGAACTAAAAGGCCATCACAGCCGCACTCCAGATGCAATTCCATGTCATAGATCGATCCCACGGAACCGAAAAGCATGACTCGAAGGTCTGGAGAAGAGCCACGAGAAGCTTTCACTAACGCTAAGGAAAGTTTCCAACAACAGTACGCCGACTTTCCGGGAGAGGAAGAAGGTGATGATCACGATGAGTACGCCACTTTTGGAGAAGGGATTGCGGACGATGACGATGACGACTTGTATCAGCCAAGCCCAAAGCGAATACGTACTCAGCCCGGCGACAGCGACGAAGATGGAGACGAAGACCAACCCATGTTCGACGAAGTAGCATATAAGCAAGCCAACATCCCATCCCATCGCTCTGCAAAAGCCAAGCAAACAGACCAAGAGGAAGAACGACCATGCCCATCCTGGCACCCATCAACGCCTCAACCCGACGAAGATGACGAAGAATTCAAACCTGTTCTCGATCGAAATGGAGAGATCATGCAAGATGTTGACCAGTCCAAACCAACGAATACAGGAGCATCACTTCAAAAGTCTCCCAGCTTGGGCGAGTTAGATTTAGAGATTGTTTTGGCTGAAGCGAGTGAGAAGTTGGCAAGATTGAAGTTGGAGAGGTATAGGAAGATGCGTGGAGGTGGTGGAAGTTCTTGTCGAGGAGATTGTTTGGGACCATGAGTTTGGAGGTGGTGGGGAAGTTGGAAGGATACTCGTTGATGGAAGCATAGTGCCAGGGAGAGGAAGTACGCATTTGAGATAAATATATTTCTCAGGTTGAACAATATTTTCTTTCAATTTGAGCATTTTTTAAGGGTCTAAAATTCGACAGGCCAGCATTAGTAAACTATGGCCCTTGAGTAGTATGGTGACTGCAGCTCTTGTACAATTCTCGTAGCGTGTCGCTCCGCAATTGCATTTCATTTGCTCAGTCAAAGTTGTCAATGGTCGTGATAATCCAGTTCTTAGCTTCTCTGATTTACTTGGACACCGGCTTTCAGAAGAGCCATAGCAATGGATGGGCTTCGCGCGTAGAACAGTGATCCATACTCAGGATCGCATCCGGCTTTCAAGAGCAAGACCACTGCACGAAGATAATCATTGCTGACGGCATGTGTCAAGGCCGATATGCCATCCGTCATCGTGGAGTCACTCACATCCCACCCGACGCCTTGATAACGCTCTGCGCTGCTTTCTCAATAACTCCTGTCTTCTTTTGAATGCTTTTGCGAGCATGGGGCTGCTCCCCGAAGTCGTGCAAGGAAAGTGACCTCTCGATCTCGCTTCTGCTGGTGGTAGTACATTGCGCAGGACATCGAGGCAAAAACTCGTTATGACCACGGCGGAGTACAGAAGTCAAATTCTCCGCAGTGAAGGATAGACCAGTCCAATGCGCAACTCCGAAGGGAGGTGAAGGTAGAATGATGATATTGGCAACTGTACAACCCTGCCTGTCAGCCTAACAGAATCCACTAGAGTCGTCTCATACAGTACTATACAGTACTTCGTCGTCGCTCGCACTAGACTCCTGCAACACCATTTCCCCCAAACGCCTTGAACACCGCTTCTTACATCCAATGCGGGTATATCGATTCTACTCCGACTTGCTCTTCTTCTTTTTCTTCTTGATTTGCTCATCGTCGCCGTCTGCTAATGTCGAGGACTTGCGCTTTTCCTTCTTGTCCTTCTTGAGCTTCTTCTCGATGTCGCCTTCGTCGACTTCAGCCTTGACCTCAGACTTGCGCTTCTTCTTCTCCTTCTTGGACAGCTTGTCGTCTGCTTCAGTCGGATCGGCCATGATAACATCCTCGTCTTTAGACTTGGACTTCTTGTCCTTCTTCTTCTCCTTTCGTTGCTTCTGCTCGGTGGCTTGTGATGTGACGCCAGCAGCGGCAATCTCTTCGTCGGCAGCTTCGGCAGTCGGGTCATCGATTTCCATGTTGGCAAGGGTGGCATCCATTGCGGCTTTCTGTAGGGGTGATTAGTGGATGATCATTTTATAACAATTGCCCAACATACCATTGCATCGGCATTCTTGGTCGGGTTGACGCCTTCGGCGTAAAATCGTAATCGCTCATCGACCTGCGCTCGAAGTGCTTCACCGAACACCCTAGTCGGTGCCATACTGAAGTTGTCGATCCGGGAGGCAATGGAAGTCTTGTTCGCAAGGAAGCGTGATATTCTGCCCTTGTTCTTGGTTCCAGCCTTACCAATGAATGATGAGTGGTAGATCAAACCATATTTGGGAGTGTTGCCCTTGGTCTTGAGAGCACGGAAAAGCGCCTTCTCAGCACCAAGGATCTGTACAGTCGAAGCAGGGTACTTGGCCAAGTTTGTTAGCGAGCCAGCGTGGGAAATGAGACGAGCTCCAACGGTTTCTCCGATAAGTGCAGCCAAGTTGGGTGCGACAACACCCATCTTCGCAACGAGGTAATTGCCCAACGACTTACGGTAGGCGGCGAGGTCGGCAGTGCGCTTGGCGAAGGTCATGACATTCTCCATGTCCGCGTCTGAGATGTCCTGGCCCATGGATACTCGTGCGGCCTCAATGATGGCCTTCGCAATGCTCTCGTCATCATCCAGAATCTTGGCGAGATCGTGCAGGCTATCCTCAGTGAGGGACTTCTTGTCGCCAATGAAGAGAGCACATCGCGCGTATTTCTGGTTCTCGCTGACGATTCGTATCAGCTCCGGGAAGTGCCAGCCGTACCATTCTCTCACTCGCATGGAGAATGTGTTCACTGCCTTGTCGAGGTGGTCAATGGTCGCGATCGCTTGAATGATGTGGTTATCATTCTTCTGAACGGAGAACTTGACCTTGGCACGCGAGTATGCGTGACCAAGGCCGAGCTGTGCACGTCCAATATCACCGGTCTGGAGTTGCTTGACGAGCTTCTCAGAGTGCAGGCGAATGCCGCGCAGCAAGTCGGCAGCCAGCTCGCTTGTCTCTGGTGTCTCGCACTCCAGACCAGAAAAGGCAGACTTGATGCTTCCTGCCAAGTTCTTGTCTCCCACGCCGAGAGTGACTTTGTTCTTCTTGCCGGCTTTGGGCAGATTCGCTTCGAGAGTGGTTTTGAGGTAGTCGCTCATGAGGCCCTCAGAAATCTCGTTGGCGTTCTCCAATGCTTGCGCAGCTCCCTGGAATGGCGCAAAGGACACCAGCTCCACCATCTTCCCAAATTTGGCCAGATCTGTGTGCGCATCTTGAACCTCCTTCTGGCGGGCGCCGATGGTGTCGGATTGCAGCTTCACCTTGAAAACTGCATAGCCCACGGAGGACTCGTGGAGGAGGTAGTCGACCGACATGGTGGCGGTGTGATTGTCGATACAGGAATTTATCGATGTGTAGTCGCAGCCTCAATTCCTCCACATATCCTGCTCGGCCTGCTGCTTCTCTGCTCTGAGGTCTGCTCTCTGCTGGTCGCGAAGCTTCAAAATCGAAAAATTGAAGGCTCGACTGAGCACGGACGCGGCTGGTCCCGTCCCGCACTTCCGATTGCACTTGCCCTTCGCTTGCGACGTCTGCCATTGGAGCGAGCACATCTCGACTGTATTCGACAACAACAACAACGCAAAGGACAGCCGCCGCCATGCCTCAGGATATGCCGCCGACGGGCGGCTACGAGCCAGTCCAATATCGCCGAAATCTGCCAGTCCGAGGCTTCAGACCTGCTTGGTATCTGGTTGCAGTGGCAGGAATCATGACATACGGCTTTTACAGAGTGGGACAGGGCATAAGAGAGCAGAAGTAGGCGCAGCATGCTGAACAAGTGACGTGCGGTGCGGGCTGATAGTTGTGTGTAGCGAACTTGCGCGAGAAAAGATGTGGTCGCGAATCCACCTTATCCCCCTACTACAAGCCGAGGAGGACCGCGATGCGGTGAGAAGGGTATTGGGACAGAAGAAGATGGAGAAGGAACTGCTTGGAAAGGAGGTTCCCGTATACAACAAGGATATGTACGTAAAATTTGGTGCTTTTGGCGTACTTGCGAAATACTGATCTCTCGCAGATTCGAGCGACCGACGTTTGCTGTAACACCTTCCAACGTAACGAAATAGTGCCAAAGGAGCAGTCTGGCACGATAACGATGCCACTTGTACATATCCAGGAGTTTAGAGGTTTGATGAGGTCAGGGCGGCTTCTATGTGAAAATGGCATGCATGTTCCATTTGTGCCATCTCCTGCAAGCGGATGCATCGACCGAACAAAGAGCATGCTAACATTCCTGGCAAATATCGTCTTCTCTGACCACATGTCTGGATGCAGATGCGCGCGCCCTATATGTCTTTCGTTGACTCACGCCGGCAGCTTAAACCAGCCACGCTCATGCACGAAGCCGACTCTTGCAACACGCCTTACTGGCTGCAGCAGCGAACTGAAGGCCGCATTTCGGAAACCTGCTTCTTCTCTGCAAGCCTCCACCCGGATAGCATCGCCGTTTGTATAGTCGCTCCACGATTGGAGCTGCGCATCAGCTCTCCAATCTAGCACCGATACATCTACAAAACACGCGAGAGCTCGAAGCTGCAAATCCAGCGACATTCTTCGTAAGTATGGCTGAACATCACAGAACTCGTGTGCTGCCTTTCATTGGTCTCCTGCTAAAAAGTCCAGATAAATGCCGAACATGCCCAGGCAAACGCCGCATCCCCGCAAGACGCCAACAACAAAAACTTCCGCCCCTATCACCATCCCCCTCCGAATATGGCGGAAGGCCAAACAAAAACACACATACTTCCGGTTCACTCTCTACAAAGATCTTAAGGAAGAAAACTCGCGGATCGAGCGAGACCAAATCATCGATAGTATTCGTAACCTAAGTGGGCAAAACGACCCAATCGCTTGTATTCCACGAACAGCTCGCGATGATGCGAAAGGGAAATGTGCGAGAGATTGCAGCGCTAGCTTTCTCCGGGTCATCGAGAAATGTGTCATAGAGACACGGCACCGCTTCGAGCTCCAGGGTCAAAACACTGCACTGCCAGCTCCAGCTTCTATCGATGATTACGAAGAACAAGCAGCCAGCACCCCACCAGCACGTCGGCTTGGGAAGCCCACCTCATATCCTACCCTCGAAGCGAAGTTCGAGGACGAAGTGCGGGAACTCAACGGTTGCAAACGCAGTGCAGCAGAGAGTGCAAGGGCCCGTCTTGCCGGATACGGATCTTACAATAGCTCCAGTAAGCAGATCGACACCGACGACGACTATACTGAGGTCGACGAGGACGATGAGGGCGATGAGGATAATGATGATGATGAGATTCAAGTCAAGCCAAGATCCCGAGCATCACCTATCGCCGAGCACGACCCGGAACCAGAGCCGATCTCACCAGACACGCTGAATGCCTCGCATGCAACATCAAAGCAAACGCTGTTCATTACTCCTCCTCCGACTAACACCACGACGACACCAAGTGTCTGCATGTCGGAGTTCGGCGGGGCACAGACGAATCCCCTCTATGAGGCAGATTCGACCAAACGCAAGAGATTGCTGGACATTGAGGATATGGAGCTCGAAATGAGGCAGATCGAACTGAGGAGACAATTGAAGGCGGCGCGACGCGCGGAAGAGCTGGAGATTGAGAACGAAAGGGCTGAGCAGCGGGCATAAAAGCATGTCATGGAAGTTATTGAGGATCAGAATGACTGGAAGACATCATGGAAAATAGAACAGGTGTGATTGGTCTTGCTGGATCAAGAAATGCAACTATCAGGCGCAAAGAGACACATCCGCGTGAATCTCGCTGGGTACCGCGACTGGAGATAAGTCATGCCTTAGTCCACTAGTGACAGGCCTCCCTTAACTTGCCATCGGAGGAGGTTCACTTCTCTTCGCTGTCGTACTCTTTAGAAGCAGCACGTTCTTTCTGTACTTCTGCTTCCTCTCCACCAAGAAGACGAGCACCGAGACGACGACTGGTTCCTATCCACAGGCATCAACAGTGCAAACCTTCACCAGACATTATTCGGAACAATTCACTGGCGTCTAGTCACTCACCTAGACTTCATTCAGAGAAGTTTTAACATCAAACCCTCCAGCAAGATCTCTTCCTCTTCCTTGCTGACCAGGACAACCATCGACTTGAGGCTACGAATTAGACTGGACAATACTGTCTCAGAACTTTCACCTGCATCACCATAGAGCTCTACCTTCCTACAACCAAGACATGTCTTCGAACTTCGACCGTGGAACTAAGAGACGTCGCGAGTCGACTGGATTCCAAGACTCGAAGAAGAAGCGGGGAGCGAATGGTGTAGAGAACTACGCCTCTGACACGTCTCCTTGCAATTGCAAGGGCTCTCAGAAATGCGAGAAATGCAATATGGTGCTACGCATCATGAACCAAGATCGCCTGAAGGGAATGCCGCCTCCAATCAGCCCCGAAGCGACCTCTTCTTCGCCGCTCCCATCATCGGCTTCGACGGGCAGCATGAGCACACACAAGGACGAGACCAGCCCATCTGAGCTTAGGCCACTGGCAGCGGAGACCGAGATGGAGGTTGACATCCCAACCGGAGCTTCTGACCCATTGCCAGACAATGAGGATGTTGGCATGGAAGACGATCGTGCAGATGATGGCGCAGGCAATGAGCCAGAAGATGGTGGTAATGGAAACGAAGAAGCGGAGGCAGAGGCAGGTGATGCATCGACTAGACCGGCACGACCCGGACTGCGTCCCAAAGGCGAGCACCGCATTGTCATCTCATTTGAACATCACGACGGAGCCCCTGGTAGAGATGTGTATCCCGGATACAACAATGTCGGCGACAATACGCAAGACACCCGCGACATCTATCAAGAACAGCTTCGAAATGCCATCGATATAGATATCACCGGTAATCTGCGCACCCGAGAAGTCTTGCCAGGCGTGCCCGATAAGACGCCGATCTTTGTGCTTGACCTCAAGACCAAGATGATCTTGGAAGCTGGCGAACTGTACAAACAGGCTGGTGGGGATCGCAATATTGTGTCCAAATACTTGGAGAAGGCCATGGACTTCCGCATCGGCGAGGCAGAGTTCGCCCGATTTATTGTCTGCGAAGACATCATCAAGGCTCATAAACTTCTCATCTTCGATCAGGGACTAGCACAAGGTATCGAAAAGGGCCAGGCTAATCAATCTGCAAACAATGCGCCGGAGAACGGGGAGGAAAATGATGAAACTCGCAAGACCTCTACAGATACGCAAACCCAAGCAGAATCTGCAACAATGGATGAAGATGACACCACAATGGTCGATGCAGAGTCACAGTCTGACTGCGACTCACCAGACCAGAACATCAATACTGGATCAGAGGCCACAGATAAGGAGGCGATGGAGATCGACGATGGTGATAGAGCCCTTGTGCTTCATGCTCAAGCCCGCCAAGCCCGCTATCCTCCAGTCAACATCCGCTTTGCACGAGAGGATCTTCGCCCTTTGGTCCGCGCTCAGGCTCAATCCGACAATGAGCGCAGTCGGGCTCAATATCCTCAATTGCAGAACGATTTTCGGCGGGAAGATCTTCGCCCAGCCCAGGATCAGCAGGAACACCATCCGCCAGCACCAAACGCTGGGCTCATGCCACAGGACCAGCAGTCTCAGGATCAACAGGGACATGGACACCATGACCAGCTGCAACACGTCCAGCCTAACATCTTCTTGCCTGGGGCCCAGCCCGGCATGGGATTTCCAGCTGCAGGTATCACGGTCTTCCACACTCAAGGCTTTACACAGACCAATACAATCGAGATCGGATTCGGTGGCCGCGATGCTGGTCGAGCCCAGGCCCGGTCTCAGCGTGTAGCTTGGAACACGCACGGCACAACTTATCTGCCTCGTCAGTAGACGATGTTGATGACATGACTGGCCCCACTGGGGTAAACGCTTATACGATGACGGCGTGATGAAGCATAGAACGTGATGGAATCGTCCAATTTTTTGAACAGGCTGCATGTGGCTTTTGAAACTTGGAACTGAGCATGATGGCGGCGCAGCGGACTGGAAATGCCCCCAAAAATATATACTAGATTGATACCACTTTAGCAAGGGCGTTAGGCGTTTTATGGAATGAAAAACTGCTTTGAGAAAATCCATTCGTCTTTAGACTGACAATTTATTCCAGATCGACGACACGGTCTGCCTCGACATCATGACGCCCGGTATATGGAGCGGGACAAAGCACATACGCACAAAGAATGGCCGCCATCTGGAAAAAGTGAGACGTTCTGGTTCAGTTCATGTTGGCTGTCGCTGTCTCAAACACATGAACCCCAGATTTGAAACCATCAGTCAGCCAATACAACCAGCAAACTCCAAGGAGATGCTTCGTATTTGAGGTTGCTCGCCGGCATGAGAAACTATCCAACATTTAGAGATTGCGAATTTGCACAAGCCAAGCAAGCCTTCATCTCCGAAATTACGAGCATCTATTGCGAATTCGCAACTCAATCGAAAATGCCAGGCTCCAAGAGGAACCGTAACATCTTCGATAAATATGGAAAGACGACGCTATCAATCACGCAGACGATTTTCGGCGCTAAGCACACCAGGTTTTCCGATGACGAGGAGACGACACCTTCTGCCAAACGCCAAAAGAGAGAACACGAACCAACGAATTCGACAATCAAAATGACTCCCATCGAGAGCAGCGACAATGCAGAAGCGACGAGTACTCCAGGAGCAGATCACAGCTCTGAATATGCATCCAAGCCAGCCTCAAAGACTCGCCGCCTGACCGACCAAGTCAAGCGGAAGCTAAAGAATCCTGAGGGCACCACTTTGGGAATGAATTTGAAGTCCAAGACCCTTACCGGGAGCAAGACCAGCCAGTCTCAGGGACGTGCTATCAAAGATGGCATCAGTCAAGGCTCATTAGGCACATCCGATCCGCAAGATGTCAAAACGACTCCCGCTGGCCTTTCACACACGGCCGAAGATATTCCATCCACACCCACACCGGAAAAGGCAAGTGCTGAAAGTATTCACTCATCCAGCACCAGTGCCTACGATGCTGGAGATCCCGAAGAAGGTACTGATGACGGCAACGACTCTCCATCGAATGATAAGAACCAGAACAGAGAAGAACCATCTCAAGCCAACGAGCCAGAAGATTCTCGAGACCATGACCCAAAGATAATTGTCTCTCGTGCTGAAGTAGGCAAGAACTACCACAAGAAATACAATTACTTGAGCGATGACGAGAAAGTCGAACGAGACAACGTTGTACTCTTCCTCAAAAGACGCTGCGGGACTGAGATCAAGTATACACAGGATCTTATGCCGCTTGATCGAATACCATACAACTGTCCGCACGAGGTCAGCAACCTTGGAATGCCATTCCTGAATGCGCTGAGAAAGATCTGGAGCCGAGCAGATTACAAAAAGCAGAAGGTGTTCTATTGGATCGACAATACGGCGAAAACGAAGTACCCTAGTCGTCCGAATGCAAAACTTGGGTCAGAAGATATCAGGCATGCGGCTGACCTCATGCGTGACGCTGACGTGAGGGCTGAAACCGTGACAAGGGTTATGGGTGCTCTTAGTGTTGATCATGTTTCTGGATTCGAAGAGTACGAGAAGAAAGAGAACCTCGATGAGACAAAGAAGGATGAAAAGGAGAAGAAAGCCAGGTTTCGACGATCGGCCGAGTTCTAGACTTCAGCAGTCATGCGGAGGAGCTTGCAAAATGTGCTGCTTTGGAAAACGGGGGATCTGCGTCGGTAGCGCCACGAAGAAGGTGGAATATGGCTTCTTACTGCTACCTAGCTGGAGTTTGGAGCGATGGGATAGGTCTTGCGATTATGCTGATCGCATCGGTGCAGGCATGCTGTGAGTGACTTTTTACAATGCTTTGTCTCAAACGGTCATACAGCACAAAGTGCCATTATTACCGTTCTAGCGAACCTTTCACTTTCCGTGCCCGTGCTCGTGCTGAAATGAGCACAAGGCTTTGTCAGCCTGATCATCCGTAATGCCAAGACTTACATCAAAGCATAGATTTTATGAAACAATGGATCGGAGATGATGATAAAGTACCCTTCATGCGATTATTCTTTGTTCTCAACAATGCCTTGTCCATCTCGTCCCTAGCATTACAATGCCTCGTTCCACTGCCCTCACCCATCACGAAAGACATAAATACCTCTTGCTCTACTATGCTCTTCCCTTCCTCATGGTCTTCATCACGAAGATCATCACCCCCCACAACCTACACTATACACACAACCACAACTACCTATATACACATGCCGCGTCATTGCCAAGCACCATGGCCGCAGAACGAGGATGAGTACTGTATTGAGCGATTCATCCACCAGGACGCCAAGCAGTACAAGGTGCAGGTCACTGATCCTTCAGGCAATGAGGTAACAATCCCCCTCTACGGAGGAGTATTGCATTGAGCGATTCATCTACCTGGACGCCAAGCAGTACAAGTTGCAGGGCATTGGTCCTTCTGACAATGAGGTGACAATCCCCCTCTACGGACGAGTACTGTATTGAGCGATTCATCTACCAGGACGCCAGGCAGTACAAGGTGCAGGTTACTGGTCCTTCGGGCAATGAGGTGACCATCCCCCTCTACGGATGAGTACTGTATTGAGCGATTCATCTACCAGGACGCCAAGCAGTACAAGGTGCAGGTTACTAGTCCTTCGGGCAATGAGGTGACCATCCCCCTCTACGGACGAGTACTGCATTGAGCGCTTCATCTACCAGAACGTCAAGCAGTACAAGGTGCAGGTTACTGGTCCTCCAGGCAATGAGGTGACAATCCCCCTCTGATCAAACCAATGCTCCAAGTCGAATATCTTCGCGACTCATTACCAATCGAGTACGCATCAGATGACCTTTCGAAAGATCTGAATAAGTCCGAGGACATGTTCATCTGTTCCCTATTCCTCCTTGGACAACGTCTAGGAAACTCTGACATTCATGACCTGATTCGACGAGCAGCCCGAGCGCGTATAGGGCCTAGCTCCTCTTCGATCACTACTATGGTCTCCTGGGATCTCATTCCCCCGTATCTCCGAACGATTCGAAAATACGTCAATACTGAGCCAAAAAGCATTGCAAGTCTACCACGGGAATGTCTTTTCGAATGGCGTGCGATATAGGTATACTCAAAGCAAAATCTTCACTCACCTCAAATCTCTGATCTCGTATCTCTTATTCTCGTGTTTCTCGCCTTTCGTAGATATAGCAATTTAATTCCGACCTCATTTAAGGATGGTGTCTGGTCCTACCGCTGTATCGATGTGGAATGAATAGGTCTTCGGATGGAAGACTAGAAGAAACGTAAACTGGAGAGGTCGCTCGAGGTCAACATTGCTCGTAATATCTTTGTTTGACAAGAGGCAGACCGCAGTCTAGACTCGTACTCTTCTTGCCATCAATCAGTTAGTCATTAGCGATCATATTCGCCGAAGTCAGGTTCCAATTGGGAGAGTTCTGGTCGGGCTTGACTTCTGGTAGGGATTCGGGCTGCCGGTCCCAGATTTTGCCTTGGCGGGAGCACATCTTGTACAGTGAGCAATCATTAAAGATCTGTATCGAGAGTATCATACGAGAAAGCCAGCGGCTGCATCAGCTGTGGCCCTAGACGTTCTCGACAAGATGTGCTTTGCCCTTGCCATTCACCAATTCATTCTTTACGAAAAGAACTCGCAGGGATGACTCGAATATGGAGCTCGAGCGCAGTCCAAACCGACGGCATCTCGCCGTCCTTTGCGGGCTGTGTATCTGGCCTAGCTCTTTTCTAGCATTTCCATTTGCGCGTTGTTGACCTCGTTGTTGCGATGGAGATCGAGGAACGTGTGCGGCACCTAGGTGATGTCTACGGTACGTAGCTTGGTCCAAATGTATGAGAGGGGCCGAACACGCCATACAGATGCAGTGCTACACCACTGTATAATAGGGAAGCAGCTGTCAAGGTGTAGTGAAAGCGTCCTTTGTTGCAAAGGTGATGTTGACGTCGGCGATGAATGACTAAGCGAAAACTGTATAAAATTAGAACCTTTCATCGCAATACTGACCCACAGATGTGTGCTTCGGAGTAAAGGGCTGTTCATGTTATCGCCATGACTACAGAGGGCCCGAGAAAGACGTCAGAATCTCGTCCGCGGACCAACAATTTGTGCCTGACGCAGAGCAGCGATGGAGGATGCGAAAACGAGCTGAGACTACCACTTCTCTCGATACACTTTGCCCTCTGCAAGAACATTCTAGATACCGTTCCAGCTGTGTGTAGTGCAGAAGACTCATACTGAGTGCTTCATCCGCGGATCTGGAAACGACATAACTGACATAAAAGCTGCTACTTCTTGTCTACAGTTGTGAGTGTCCAAACACGACGGAGGAGCAACATCAACCTTTTATTACTTCACGACCTACAGCGCCGAATACTCAATCGACAAAATGGTCTACCAATTCATGGTCTTCGCATCTCGCAAAGCAGGGATTACGCACGAATACTTCAAGCAACGCTACGAACGACACATGAAAATGATCGAGGGGCTCTGCAAAGGCGCCGAACCATCATCGCACACGAGGTTCTACCCAATTCACGACAGCAATACAGGCAAACCGGTCCTGATGGCGGGGAACGCAGACGATATCGACTACTCTACGATTGTTCTCATGGAGTTTCCGGACGAGGCTGCCTTTCAGAGATTCTACCAAGCGCTGTTGACAGAGGAGGCAAACGAAAAAATCATCGCTGATGAAGCTGGGTTCTGGGAGCGCAACGGCATGAAGGCCTTTGCAGTGGAGAGCTGCAAGACCTGGGGCTCGTGATGTACGATTACATAGACGGACACACCTAGAAGAATCGGATTGGTGGCGTACGAGGCAGTTTTAATAAACCACGTAGGGCTTTATCTGATTTATGCTTTCACAAACTTGGCGGAAAAACATCCATTCGCGCTGACTGGCCTCGCAGTACCGCAAGGTTGTCGCCAAATTCCTACTCACCACATCCGCTTTCAACTGGACAGTCAAGTTCAAATACCGGGATGCATCCCAACCTTGTTTAGAGTTGGGTTTTGGTGGACCTGGCCCTCAGCCTGATCGTCTCTGACGTGCTTCACTTGGCAGGAGGGCTTTGAGCCACACATGTGACCCTTATCATGTGCAATACGTGGTGCATGAGTCTCTATAGACACACAAGATACTACAAATCCGGTCACAAACTCTTTACGAGGAATTCCGGATGTGCGTGAAACTCTCGCACTCCGCGTGTGCGGTGCCAAGAATCCGGTACCAAAGTGGTAAGCAGTCCCAAAGTATGGTATACGGGAGTCCGCGGCCAAAAGACTTCATATAGTCATATACTGGAATGATCTGCTCATCTTACCTTTGGTCGAATCACGGACAAAATGCTCGAAAACAGATTTTCTTTAAGTGGTGGTCCTCATCAGACCAGCGGGAAGCTATGGCTGAGGACATCGAATTTTGCTTACCACCAGCATCGAAGTCCTCACAGGATGGAAAAATTCCGTATATAAAAGACTGCGCAAGTCCTTGATCCAGGAAATCACCACTTCAGAGAACCATCAAGATTTCACTGAGCTCTACGACACAGTCAAGGCATTCAATCGCAAAATCCACAACAACCATGAAGCTCCTCTTCCCCATCGTTGCCACATTTCTGGCTGGTCGATCACTTGCAGCGCCTGCAGATCTAGTCGAGAACAACAGCAGACATCCTCACCACAGTCCCAACTGGGCAGGCGCAGTCAAGCACAGCAAACAGGTCGACTACGTCGAAGGAACTGTGAAAGCACCAATCGTTCACGCTCCCGAGGATGGCCAAGAATACATGGGCGCTGCTTGGGTCGGCATCGACGGCAGCGGGCAAGACAAAGATTGCGGAGCCCTATTCCAGACCGGTATCGACTGGCGCGTTCGAGACGGACAGACAAAATACAGTGCCTGGGCAGAATGGTATCCGGAGGCACCGCAGATACTCGACATCGAAGTTTCACAAGGCGATGAGATTTTTATGAAAGTTGTCGCACATACTAAGACCTCTGGTACCGCTTACATTAAGAATAACTCCAACGGACAAGAACAATCCAAGTTCTACGACAATTCACCGTATCCTATCTGCCAGAGAAGCGCGGATTGGATCGTCGAAGATCCTGGCAACATGGTCCCGTTCGCGAAATTTGGGGCTCCTGTGGATTTCACTGACATGAAGATGATTCACGGAGACTATTCGCGTGGTCCGAAAGGGGCGAGAAATTATGAGATGAAGCAGGATGGCGAGACTTTGCTCAAGTGTGATATCGAGGCCGAGAAGCGGACGGGGAAGATGAGTTGTTATGGATCGAATTGAGCGTGGAAGGAAGGGGCTCGTAGAGCTATACCGAGTCTGTCCGAGCTGTTGTTCGAAGCCAAGCGAAGGAGCTTGATCGGAAAAGACGTACCATCTCGTGCCGGTGCTTGGACGACCTCTTCTAGCACTTCAGGATCGTTCTGATCAGCCTGGTCCATGAGCCCCACCAGATGCCTCAGGGTAGCAAGTGTTTTTGTAGGATCTGACCAGTCAAATTCATGACGTTTATAGCCACATAACGCCTCTTCAAATTCCGGGCATGGCTCTCCGAAAGCCAGAATTTGCTCTCGAGATAGCTTCGTGAGGTCCATTGTTGTTCTTGCAACCTCAGAACTATTTTGCCTGACATATTGCATGTACTTGCGTGGAGGTGCTGATATACTTGCAAATCTCGAATTCCAGTCCGCCAGTGGGCCGCCAACTTCAGCTGGGTGGGGCCTTCTTGAAAACACCATGGACAGTAGTCATCAGCTGCAGCTCAGTGAGCGGTTTGATGAGACATGAACTTTCCGCAACGCTGTGTGATAGGGCTGCATGGCATTTCTACTTCGGTAACACCATTTCCGTGGGCCATGGCCAGGACATCAAAGACGTTGACATTCAAGTCATCGCAAGGTGCGCTGAGTTTCAAGCGTAGCATTCCTTTCACAAGCCATATTCACCATAATCCTGAAAATGCACCTGGAATCGCTTCTGCTGCCTTGAACTCGTATCTGCTCCCGGAATACAGGCCGGTCGCTTTCTGCTAGGCGACCTGGAATCAACATCTGGTGATGAGCTAGAGTGTCGACGCGGCCGGCTCTTGAAATTGTCTCCGCTGCGCCTAGTCGAAGTCTCATCCGTCTGCCTGTCAAGCTCTTTGCGCAGTTTCTTGACCGTACCCTCCAATACAGTGATTTTGTCCTCCGAGTTTCAAGTTCTTTCTAGGAGTCGCTCTCGATCTTCGAGCAGCTGCAGATAATCTGGCGCAAGCTTTTGATTTGTATCGGTAGAAGCGGCCCCATCTTGCGGCTGTGGTGTACGACGCCAATCTCTTTCACGTTCGACGAATGTATAAGGCCGAGGGTAAGATCGTGAGCAAAGCGCGAAACCGGAGGTATGGCTCTTTGCCGAGATAGATCTCGAGTAGTCGCATCTTTCTATGGAGTACTGTAGCACGGCATGCTTCGGCAGACAATGATGGCGAAGATGATGATGGAGGCGTGTTGTACGACGAGAGCTTAGAATATTAGCTCGGAGAACAGCGACGCCAAGCAAAGAGGCTTGAATAAGCTTTGCGGGAAGGCGGGAGATCGACGCCTGTATCTTCCCAGCCAACCTATCACCTTCCTCAACACCACAACGGGCATCTGATACAACCAAGCAAGGGGACGGTCACGCTTCACGAACGGAAGATCATCCGTCCAAAGTCACAATGACAGGCCAAACGCCAGCCTCGGAATGAAATCTCACACTCCGAACGAGGTCGATCTCTCGATACTACTGCACCTCGACACCCTTACATTCTTAGATTTGCCTACAGTGCATCGGAGACGAGTCTGAAACGGGAAGGTTGTAATCAAAGATGGAAGCATATAATGAAGCGGCAAGCAACCTGCTGGCAGGGGGGAGCATTGCTTCTGTCGCCGACACCATGCCTTCAATTCGAAACATAGCCCTCTCAGGCCTCACAGCCGCTCAGTCCGTCCTAGGCTTCGGACTCACAAGCCCAGTCATCAGAGCAGATTCCCTAGCCTCAGCTTCAGCAACATGTAACAGCCCACAACTCTCTTGCCAGAATACTTCCGCAGTCTCCGATCTCTGCTGCTTCAATTCCCCGGGCGGCGCACTCCTTCAGACGCAATTCTGGGACACAGACCCCGTCGTCGGACCCTCAGATTCCTGGACAATCCATGGACTATGGCCCGACAACTGCGATGGCACCTACGAAGCCAATTGCGACGATAAACGCGCTTATACCAACATCACCGATATCCTCAACGCGGCTGGCAAACAGGATCTTGTGTCGTATATGAACACGTACTGGCAAAGTAATTCTGGATCCGCCGAGACGTTTTGGGAACATGAGTGGGGAAAGCACGGGACCTGTATCTCGACTCTTGACCCAGACTGTTATTCGGATTACAAGCCTACGGAAGAAGTTCCGGACTTCTTCGAAAAGGTCGTGAGTTTGTTCAACGCTTTGCCTTCGTATAAATGGCTTGCGGATGCCGGGATCACGCCGGATAGCAGCAGGACGTATACTTTGGCCCAGATCCAGAATGCTGTGGCGAAGCAATTTGGTGGGAAGATTCCATATGTGGGTTGTGCTTCGGGCGCGATGGATGAGCTTTGGTATTTCTATAATGTTAGGGGTTCGGTTCAGACGGGCGAGTTTGTGCCGGTGGATACTTTGACCAAGTCGAATTGTCCTAGTACGGGTATCAAATATAAGCCCAAGAGTGGTGGTGGAGGAGGTGGAGGTGGATCGACTACGACTACGACTGGAAGCGGATCTCAGCCCACTAGCAACCCTGGCGACGCGTTCTCTGGATCTGGATATTTGAATGTGATTTCCGGAGGTAGCCAGAAGGGTTGCATTATTTCGGCGGGCACTTGGTATACGACTGGTACTTGCGCCACGATTTCTGCCACGGCTTCTGGTGATGGCTTCACTCTCAAGTCTTCCAAGGGCAGCTGCGGTTTGGTCTCAGGAGCATTGACTTGCGGCTCTGGCGTAACGAGCACGGTGTTCACGCATGATGGCAGTACACTGCAGTACGGCGGCTCGTCTGCATTCTCGGCAGACAGTGTGCCAAGTGGAAGTACACAGGCCAAAGTGTACTCTGGAAGCAGTCATTCAGCTGCTATTACGATACAATGGGGCAGCAAATAAATCATAGACATTGCATGAAGAATAGATTTGCATTCTAAGAGCAAAACTTTTGACAATTTCCCTCGGCTCGACGGTAATCTGGAAGTGAAAGCGAGCAATCCAAATCGAAATCCAACCAAGACGACGTCATTGATACTAAACAGCAGATATAAGATACTGTACACATCAACACTCTCCATCCCCATCCATCTACAGATTGCAATCCCATCACCCTCCTCAACCATGTCATCCTCCCAGATCCACGGAACCTGCAATTGCGGCACCCACAAATTCTCCATCCCACCCCCTACAAAAATGAACCTATGCCACTGCATCGACTGTTGTAAATGGGCCGGAGCCTTTCACTCTGCCCATCTCATGATGGACACGGACGTAATAACAAGAATCTCAAAATCGAACATGGGAATCTATCGTGTGAAAGCGGATTCCGGGAATTGGATGGAGAGGACTTGGTGTCAAGGGTGTGGTAAGTGCTGAAGAGAGGATGGGAAGAAGCGGTTGCATTTGTGGGGGGGGGGGGGGGGGGGGGGTTTCTTCTCGCTAAGATATCGATACTATTATAGGAGCTGGAATTTGGATCCGAGCTTTCACAAAGGAAGGGGAAGAACCCTCACGGACGAATTTGAAGGCGGGACTTTTTGATCGGAAGGAGATTTGTGGGCCTACGATGGAGAATTGGATGAAGGTGTGTGTGTTGTTTTTTTTTTGGTGCAGAGAGACCGAGGTCAGATTTTGGAAGTTCATGCTGACGTTTTGTGACTTTTCTTTTCTGCAGAATATGATGTCTTGGGAAAGTCCGGCTCAAGGGACGGAGAGGCAGGCTGTGGATGGAAATTGAAATGCTGGTCATATGTCCAGTCCACGATCTATCCCGAACAAGCCATCCATCATAGAGCCTCTTTTCCAAATTTGGTTGTCAATCCATTCCCTCCGAGTCGACGAAGCACAACATCCTTATAAGCATGACGATTCGTCTCAAGCGGCTCATTCACATCATCCTGAAACCCACCACCACCACCACACACCCAACCGCCTTCCAGCAGTGCCCCAGTCAGCAAAGCAATCATCGCCACCCCAAAAGGTAGAACGCCTTCCAGCTGCCATCTCTTCGCAGGACAACGAAAAGGTTTCGCTCCAAACGGCAGCCAACAACAATCCTCAAATTTCTGATCAACAGAATACCAACGCTCGGGTCGAAAGACTTTCGCATCTTTCCCCCAGACCTCGATATCGCGATGCATGCTCTCGACGTCGGCTGCCACTTCGTATTCGTCGCCTTGCTCGTCTTTGAATTGTCGATAGATGCGTCTGGTGGGAGGGTAGAGTCGAAGAGCTTCCTTTGCGATCATTGAGCTGCAAGGGATGGGCCCGGTCTTCTCTAATTCTTTGCGGGTTGGGTTGAGTGAGAAATTTGCAAGGCTTGATTGCCATTGCGGGGAATTTGAATGATTTCTGCTGGAGACTTCGACAAAGCATCGTAGGACTACTCGCCAGAGGGTCTCGTAGCCAGGGAGAATGAGATTTAGAGGATTCGTGTCTTTGGAACCGTTCCACGCTGGAAAGGCAGCTATTAGTGCTTCGCGGAGTGGCTGCTGCTTGTGAAAGGACCAGTCTGGTGATGCTGTTTGGCCGGGACTTGTTTTGTCTTTGGATCGTAGCCACTGGTCGTTGATCTCTTGTGCTAGGCAGCGGATAGAGGAGGTGGGAACGGAAATCTCAGAGGTGTCGAAGAAGACGGTCATGACCATCTGCATTGTGACCGATTGAACGACCTCGAAGAGACTCAGCTCGGACGTTGATCGATTCAGCTCATTCTTGACGATACTTCTAGCTATGGCTCCAAGCTCTTTCCACTTTGCTTCCGGGAAATAAATCTTTTCTTCGACCGCCTTCCTGAATTCTTCACATACTAGTCTGTCTGAAGTTGTAAAGCAGTTGTGAATGTCAAAGGCGGTCACCAATCGCTTGTTTGGTGTAGCTCGGGCTTCGAACTTGTTCATCATGTTGATCGTTCCATCAGGCATCTTTTTTCCGTCGATGATCGTCAAACAGTCCTTGGGTTTAGCGCAAAGTGTCTGGACCTGCGTCTGAGGAAGTGTTGACTCTTTCGTAGCAACTTGCTCCAAAATGGAGCAGACTTTTGACCACACAGCTCCGCCTACGACTATACCGCTGCAAGCCAGCATAAAAGTGTCCAGAACAGATACCAAAAGACTGGGAATTCCAAGGTCTGTTCCCAGGCTCCTCAGAGCAGCCAGCGTCGGTACCACAAGTCCCATAAACCAGTAGTAATTGTCTTTTGCTGAACCATAGCAGCAAATGGAAACAAGTACGGAGATTGCAACGCCGCCAAGGAAAACGTCAAGCGAGCTCATGATGGCAGTAAATGGAGCCTCTGTAGCTCAGGGAGGATTGTCTGTGGAGCACTCCTATTTTCATAGCTATGATATGGCATAGCGTACAAAGCAGATATTGAGTTTGCTCCGTGCTTTATCGAATGAGGTTTGTTCAAAGACATCATTGTTATTCTGCATCAAAAAGCTTTGAGTAACCAGTAACATGAAATGCTGAGCGATCAAACACGCCAACATTAGCGTCGTCAAAGCCACAAAAGGCCAAGCACGCATAATTCATCAGACAATCGTGTATTGTCCATCATCCTGCGTAAGTGAACTTGCTGAGATTCAAGCGCTTCCGACAAGCCGGGTCTTCAAGCGTGGCCTCTGGACTTTCAGGAACAAGCAGGTCTTCGCTACCTCTCGTTGCGGTGCCGACCAGTCGGCTTTCCATTTCAATCCACGCCTCGTCTGCGATTTCATCGTCATCTGCCTCGGCCTGGTCGGATGGGAAGAGCTCATTCGCTGCACCAGGCGGCGATTCCAGCACAATGCCGCTGTCGTCGACTGATAACACATCATGGGAATGAATCGGTATCTCAAGGCCAACATCAAGGGATGGGGCTAGTGAAGGTGTGCATGTTGCCAACGACGCTGAATAAGTCCTCGAAGGTGTCTTGCGAGGCGTTGAGCTGCTCTGCTTTCTGAGCGCGAACATCTCCAGATTGAGGCCCTTGCTAAACACGCTGGGCTCTCGAGAGGAAGTCGTGCTCTCGAAAGATGTGTCAGGAGTATCTGCCAGACTCGCTCTCCGCGAGTCGGTCGACGTGGTAGTTGTCACCGTGGCTTGAGACTCGTTGGTAATGCTGGCTTCCGTTTCTGGAGTATCGACGAAGACGCTTAGTTTCTTCCGCTTTCGCTGCGAGGGAGTGCTCGTCTCTTGCGTCGACTCTACAGTAGCCGCAGCATTAACGACTGCCTCCGCTACCGAATCATCCGACCAGAGCTCGAACTCTTCCTGCTTTGCACCGCCCGACTTCTTATGCAGGGGCGAACTTGCATGGACTGGCTGCTTGCCGAAGAAGCGGCTGGTGGAAGATTCGAGGGTTGAAGCGCCCCTCAGAGCAGCGGCAATGCCAGAATCTGAGCATAATCGCTGCCTCTTAGGTGATGCCCGGTGTAATGATGGTGATGGATCGGTCGCAACACGTCGCGACGCTTGTGGTGCGGTAGAATGCGGCAGTCCATTGGTAGATCGAATAGTGCCAAAGGCTCTCGGAGCTGTGACCTGAGGTGCCGACCATGACCTCCCAGCCTGAGACTCAAGCAATTGGTTCTGCGTTGGCGAGGGTGTGAACGAGTTTGGGTCGAGCTCGGCAAGCGGTATTCTCTTCTTGAAGAATTCATTGATCGGTTTTCCAGGCTTCTCGTTTGGTGTGTGAATTATCCTCTGCCGACTTGCAGGATGGTAGAAGCTTCGGGGCAGAACGATAGGCTTCTTCGTGTTCGGGTCCAAATCGCCACACGCGACACCTGCGGCTAATTCTGGGTCCACGGCCTTCCCAATGAATGGCATGGAATCTGCGGTCAGTCCAGTCGGTAGTTGGTTGAGATGAGTCAAGCATTGATCCTCTGGGCAAAACACCCATTGGTACATAAAGGTCTTCTCTGCCCGGGAGAAGTCCTCCAGATATCCCTTGGGCACTCGCATCTTGCCATCGAACTGCACAGTGCGAACAACTCGATCGAGTGTCTTGTGCTTCCTCACAAGTCGATACGCTGTCTTCAAGCCCATCTTGTCGATTCCAGGCAAGTAGTCGCAGCCACTTAGCATAGCCATCATTCGGAACTCACGATCCGTCCAGCCCACCAAACTGATCTCTCGACAGGAGGTGAAGTCTGCTCGACTGATCATCACGCACTCGCCGTACTGGTCAAGTTTAGTTAAGAGGCACTGCACTCCAAAGACCAGCAAGTCAGAGTCCTCGCTGATGACGCCGTCGATAATGCCTTTCTTCTCCAGGTAGGCCATCTGGCTGTCTGCTTCGTATGGAGCCACGACATATTGCACATCCAACTTCTTCAGCTCTTCAATCAGCTCTCTAGCCATGGCGGGTGTGACGTCGACCGCTTTCTGCAGCTCCAGCTGCGCCTGACTGGGCCTTCCCATGCGCAGCATCTCGAGTCCCACTCTCTTGCTCTCCTTCCTCTTCGCAGCACGCTCCTTCTCGGTATGCGCCTTACTCGGCAGATAGTCGCCATCAAATACCAGGTAAGGCTTCACGCCGAAGTGTATGAGCATGCGCACGCGATGGAGGGCGAAGTCGATGTGTTTCCGCGTCGGGTTGCCTTCTGCCAGGTCAATGGCACAGGAGACCGTGCCTCGATGTAGCCAGCCATAAGCGTCGATGCCAAGCGTCTGCCCTGCGAAGTTGCGGAGATGTGTCGGCTTATGGATGCTCTTGAGCAGCGGAAGCAGGCCTGTACCACAGTGTTAGAGACGGGTGCATGTAAGTACTTGGTGATGCCTATTTGTGCTGACCCTGTATGCCCATTGTGCGGCGCGTCCTGTACTACAATCGAGCTTCTGTCAACCCATGACTGTATTCTACGAGTTCTATTCCTGTCGTCTCTGCGCTGCGCTGCCTGTCGTCTACCAAGAATCGAATGCGATGCCAATGAGGTCAAGCAGAGAGGCGCGTCGACGCGTTCAAGGATCAGTCGGAGCTCGGCGAATCTGTTGCGCCGACGCAGCACATTTTCGACTTCGACTTCACGAAATTTCCCTTGCTTGCCTTGTCATCGACAGAAATCTTCTCCAAACATAAGGCTTGCAAAATGCCGTCGAAATTAAGCAAGGTGCAGAAGCACGTCACGAAGAAGAAGGGCGCCAAAATTCATGCTTTACACGAGAACAGCAGAGATGCCATTCGGCTTCGCAGAGCAGCCGCCAGAGATGAGCGAGTGAGCAACACGAATGCCACAAAAGAAAAGCAAAATCGACCTTGGTTAGACCGTGTTGCCTTCTTCCAGGAAAACCTGCCCGAGACGCTCCATCCCCTTGAGATTGCCGAGACGCAGGCTTTGATTGAGCGATTCCTGGCTCGCCACGATGAGGAAGTTGCAGCACTCAAGGCGGAGAGGAGACCGGGCAGACCAGCTTCGACGAGGCAGACCTTACTTGAGCAGCAAATCAAGACTGAAAAGGCTGAGTATGAGAGTGGATTCTGGGTGCCGAATATGCAGGATGAAGAGGCATTGCAGAAGCTCGATGCGTGGAATGGTTCATGGTTGGCTCTGGCGCCGTTGAGGTTTGTGCGAGTCGACAATGCTGGCGGTGTGAAGGAGAGCCAATTTCCACCCCGAGGTGCTGCTTGAGATGGCGAATCCAAACGGTTCATGACCCCGGCTGAGAGAGGATTTGAATTAGAGGTTCCTCACGGCAACAAACAACGTGGATGTTGAACATGAGCGAATCGCAATCAAGCCTATCCAGATCCGCGATCAAAGGCTCAATGAAGCCCACACATGTTCCATCGATTCTGGCGGACTGTGTATCGCGGTGGGAAAGTCTAGTTCTTGGAGAACTCGCAGGCTTGAAACTCCAGCAATGATATGGTGCACAGATCAACGGGTTCTGGAAAAGATTCAAAGTACCCGCTGCAACGAGCAGAAGATGGATCTGGTCCCATGTGCACGTGCTCCTTCTTCACAGCTCCGCTTGGTGCTGCATGTGAGGTGGAGCAAGTTTGCATGTGCGTGACCCGCAGAAGCTTTGACCATTTCGCTTCTCCGACTTGTCTATTCTTAAAGCTCGTAATAATACCTTTCTCGTTGCAACACGACACAACTCGGCAGTAATCACACATGGCGGTCGATGCAGTCGCGCTGCGCGGAAGCAGCGACGAATACCTTAACAACCCCTCTACCAACAAGATCAACATCGCTCGCCAATGTGTCTTTGATACTACTGAGCTGCTCGAAGCCATTCTTCTTGAGGTCGACATATTCACTACACTTGTGGCGTGCACTCGAGTTTCCAAGACTTTCGCCAATACTATCTCCAGCTCAATTGCACTGCAGCGCGCTCTATGGTTTCAGCCGACTCCTGCGTCGCTGCTCGACCCGGATACTTCGAAGCTCAATCCGTTCTTCGTCGCGAGTGGCAAAAACGCCAATTTCCATTCTCTATATCGAGGTATTAAAGCTACGCAGAGCAAGACTCCTTTCGGCCCTAAGGATGGTGACTTCGAACGCATTCTCGAGTCGACAAATTGCATTGCATTGGAAAATTTTCCTCCTCGCAAACATCAATATGGCAGCTGGCGTCGCATGATTCCGATGCAAGATCCGAATGAAGAAGGACAAGATCCACATTGGGTTCTTGACTTCCGACGCGTTCGCCCGGACGTCGCGCCAGGATATCTCACGCTGTACCACATGGACGAGTGTAGTGATTCTTTGCGTTCGCCTGGAGATACGACGATCGCGATGCAGGGACCTATGTCTATCTTCGGTCAACAGAAGAAGCCGCCGACCATGGAGGAGTTGATCATGTTCTCTGCGACAAATGAGACAAAAGGCAACTGGGATGAACTCATCAGGATCTGGAGTGGAGAGTTGCGGGGGACCGAAGAACGTATGAAATGGTGCAAGCAGATGACAGAGAGAAAGACTACCATGCTTGCTTGGCCCTGAACAAGACTGTCGGCATAGCACCTGGCATCCTGAGCTCCATAGCGTCAGCGCTCGACTTCATCCTGAGCACACTGACTGAGGAGAACGTAAAGCTTTACTACACGATACGATACAAACAACCGAGGAATTGGGGCTTCAGAAATGAGTATGGGACGAATAGTCATGCTAATGCTCATGACAGCCTGATCTTCATGAGCATTCTCAAAGGCGTTGCAGATTTGGAGATAATTACTCGTCCCGTAGGAATGCTCCCAATTTCCAACTGAGCATAAGGGGAATTTTTGGTATCACATTGCACTAGCAGAACATATCTCGTGCAGCCCGCGATGTAACTCTCAATCCTTTCCACACCACAGTACATACATGGGCCGGAGCTCGGCAGAATATATTGCCGAGTGAAAGCTTAAACCTTCACGCTTTCTAATGACATTCGTTCGAACTTCACCCTTGCCTTGAATTCAAAAATGTTTCGCTGTCTGAGAAGAATGAGCAAATGCCATCTGCGGCTGATACAACACGTAGATATGGTTTCATCATATGCAGAACGAATCCGCCGCGTGCCAACCGCGTAGCCTTGAGTACGCGTTTCTGCATGGGCAAACGCTGACCCAAACGCCCATGTAAAGCTCAACTTCCTTGTCCCTCGATATTTCCTGCATGCCTTCGACCATTCAGTAGCGTCAGGGGCCTGTACAGTCTGGAACATCTTCTGAACGTCAACGCGAAATCCTTAAACCGACCGATTCGACATTCCACAAATCATGGCTCCAAATCTGATGAGCATTCCTCGCGAGTTGCGTGATCAGATCTGGGAGCAGGTCTATGGCACTCCGACACAGGTCCGACTGACTTGTCACGCCATAGAAGACTCGTACAAGCAGGGCGAGTCGAAGCGTTATCCAGAACAGCCGGTGGCAGAGTATCCGCCAGTCGAAGACGACTCAGCAGCGGCTCCCTCCCAGAGCAACGATGTCGACAGCGAAGCTGACTCGGACGCCGGCGCTGGTGACGATAAGTCGCAGTCAGAGGGTGACGGTGACGGTGACGGTGACGAAAATGAAGACGAAGAAACTGCAAAGGAGGACGAACCCATCGACTTCGATGTATACGAATTTCTCAAAGAGCATCCAGAGTCCGACGATGAAAGCTATGATGTTGACAGCGAAGACGACTCGGATGAAGAGGAAGTTTCCAAGGGTTACAAGATATTCGCAACATCTCCCGTCGACACCTCACTGCTCATGGTCAGTCATCAAGTCAGCGAGGAAGCTGCTCCTTACTTCTGGGCCTCTTTGACGCTAATTTTCGAGTACACGGCGATTGGCACGATGCGTTTCCTAATGGCACTGCCGGCTCCTGCGCTGGACAACATCAGATCCATCGGCCTGACGAGCTGGATCTTCATGGACGATGACAAGGACTCGTTCCACGCCTGGAACGGTAGCATAGACACCCCTCTTTACCATCGCCCTGACGGACCGACACTCATCACACCTTTCGCATCTTTTCTCGCCTCGCATCTGCCCAACCTGGAGGAGATTTACCTCTACACACCTACTGGAGGTGACGAGGATTTCTATTGCCTGCCAGCATCTCTCGATCTTCACGAGATGCTCGACTCTCGTTCCGTCAAGCGACTACACCACGTATTTCTCGGCGATCCAGCCGCGAAGATTTTGTCGAGGTGGACTAGCAAGGATGCTTTAGAAATTCTGATGGGTAGGATTCCGGCTTTGGTGGGATACCACTGGTATCGACTTTTGTACCCCGAGCCAGAGAAGCCGCGGGGCTTCATCCATCCAGCAGATGACGCTTGGGAAGGCTCGCTAAACCAAGCCCACAGCGAATGGTTTGAAGACTCCTATGACTTCAAGAAAAACGTGAAGGAAGACTTGGCTTCGCGTTGGAGCTGGAGTGGTCGCGACATCGACTTTGGAGGCGATGGGAATGTACAGGCTGTCATAACAGTGCATGCGAAGAAGGAAGAGGGTCAAGATCCGTTGCATGATTCTCCTGAAATCCTCAAGGCCATTTTTCGAAGTTCCAAAGTAAAGTCTCCTAATGTTGGGATCAATCACAATGACCACTCCATGTTGCGTTCTCAGGATTTATATAGTCAACGTACGACTGATGAACGGGACAACCCAGGCCAGGCTCAACATACACTCATGTTTGACGGCGAGGCAATTCGAGCCATTTTGGTTTGAATGGAAGGTGGTGGCGTATACTACTATACTACTAAAGTTTCCATGGGGTTTGAAATCAGTTCGTTCATTTCTAAAGTTTTGGTGCGAGATTTGTCGATTGCATATATTCGTGTGATGGCCCATCAAGGTGGCTTCTGCTGTGAAGCACTCGGCTGACCTTGTTGCTCACAGTTCTCATGGCATCGCTCTCTCGCAATCGAAATGGCATTGTCAATGTCTTGCGAAGATCTGGGAGCTTACAGGCTGTATCCGATGTGCTTTCGGTAGGTAATTCAACCGCGATTGAGAGCATGGGGTAGAGCAGGTTTAGCTCATATTGACAAGTTGAATAGTCCAAGATGCCTCTTCACGATGCCGATTCACGTTGTAGACAGCCGTAGAATCTGCGTTAGGTTTCTCATTTCGTTCTCGAGGCCACGTTGGTGATGCCGTGTTCTGGGCCAAGTGAATTTGCGCGGAAACGCGGCTTCAGTAGTAGTAATATGCTCATCGAGCTCTCTGTACGCATGTATGAAGAAGCCTGACCAAAACATTACGCCTCGCTCATGGCTGAACAATCCCGAAAGCCCCAAGTCCAGACCATCCCATCCCGCCTACTCCGCTAATGCCCAAAAAGCCAGAACCTTGCCATAACCCATCTAAGCCATGGTATTAATCCTCCCATCAGCTCGCGTGCCTGTTCCACGAAGCCTGCTCACACGATGTCCTCAATGTATGCAATACAAATGCAAGTGCTGAAACCAGACGCTCGCTGTGAAGTAAAATCTGCAAACCCACCGATCACTGCTGCAAAGAGCGATCCTAGATACCCTTGATAGCGACAGTCCGTTCGCTCTCGAGCTTGGCCTTGTTGCGGTCCTTCTCCTCCTGCTTGCAGTCTTCAAGACCGGTACAGTTGTGACTTTCCAACATGCGGTGCCTGCCGCAGAAGTGACCTTGGCAGAAACCGCAGTCACCGACGATGCGCTGGGCGGCGTCTTTGCAATCCTTGAAATTGCAGCGGATCTTCTTGGGTGCGCCGCCACGGATTGGCAGGGCCATGTGCAGTGTGGACTCTCGGGTCACATTGTAGGATGAGAGTGTAGCGGTCAGATCGCTAAGGTGGCTCCCTGCATGCGTCACACGGAGCTTGGCTTCGGGTGTGTTGGTTCGGAGGGCGACCAGGGAGCGGAGGGTGCCGACGGTGGTGGACTCGGGGATAGTGATGGGGAATGCTGGGCAATGTTAGAAGTGGTCACGAAGATGGCACAATCGCCCATGCTTACTGTCACCGGCGACATTCTTGACAAAGATCTGCATAGTCGGCTCCGGCTCGGCTGACGAGGCTCGGCTGGAGAGGGACGAGATGGAGCTGATGCTGTTGGAGCGCATGTTGGGCGGAAGTGATGGGTGATGTGATGTGGGAATAAAATGATGCCCGTGCCGGGTATGAGTCGTGGGGCGAGGCTGGTAGTCTCAGACGCTGGGCTAGCCTGATAACGGCGATGCTCAGGTCGCGTGCCTGATACTGGCGGATGTCGCTGCTTGGCTAAACGGTAGAATGTGTGGCTTGCTGGCGATGGCAATGGTCGATGTTGGAAGAAGCGTGCAGGTGGAGCGGAGGAGGAGCGCAGGTGGCAGGCTATAAGTAGGTTCGTGGTGATTAGGTTGCTGCACTCGTGTGACGAGACCATGGACCCTTTCACTTTCACTTGGGCCGGCGCGTGCTGCCGCTGCCGAATCAGCCTAGCTTCTGACTTCCGAAGGTGACGTAGAAGTTCTCCCATATCACCGCACCGCAATTCACCCTCCGAGACACCTGAGTGCTGACGTCTGTCTGCAGAGCAGAGCAGAGCCTTTCTTCCACTCCTCCTCCGCTGCCGCCGCCGCCGCCGCCGCCGCCGCCCGGCATTCATGCATAGTGCCGATTCCAATGCACTCCATACCCTGCGTCAAACTTCTGCCCATTTGTGCCGGGTCATGTGTCGTGGCAGAATACGTGGCCGCTCATTTACCGCCGCCTCAGGCCATCGGAATAGCATGATGGGCATGAGAAGCCCTGCACTTTGCGCCGGCCCCGATCGCCTTCACTGCGTCGACTGAGCATGAACTTTGTCGCGGTCGCTGCGCCATGCATCACTATCTCACGCTTACCGCGCGCTTGATGCGGCTGAACAGCTTCTATTGCCAAGACATTCCAACGCAGACGTCAAGGGAGGGCTCGAGCTGGTCTAGACTTCCTCAGCTACCTTTCGTACCACATGCCATCGGCCACGACAACACGACGCAACGATTCAAGTAGCGCCCTCGCCAAAATGGACACACTGTGGATATCTGATACCAGAAGACCTCAATCTGTATGCTCGGTCTAAGTACAGCTACGCTCTCGCCGCTCATCCTGTCCCCCGATGGCCCGTGAAGGCATTTCTGATGATCTGGCCCCTGAAAGCATTTCTTCATGGTTCGGACCATGGATTCGCCATATAAAACCGCGTCTGTAGCGGAACAACATCGTAAGGAGCGTTTGGCTTTGAGAAGCAACTGGAAGCCATTAAAAAGCAGATATGATTGTGAAGGACAATGAAGCCACAACAAGCGGCGAGGAGACGAGAACACTAACGCAGCAGTGGGAAAGCTGTATGGCGTGTAACTTCCTGGATTTTCCCTTGCGTCCCGCGCAAGTCTCAGCAGTCGAACTTGTCCACCATTGGATACGCAGTCTGAAGCGCCTGACTTATTACGCCTGGAAGTTGATGGCAGTCAGCATAAATACGCGCAAAAGCTTGTATGGGTCACAGCGACGTACCATTCCGGCCGTGAGGCGCATAGAATTTAAGGCTCGTTCCTGCATCATACGTAGGCCCTCCTCTAGGCTGAGTCTCACTTGGCATATCGTGCCCGGCAATCATCGAGCATGTCCAGTCGCAGAGGGTTTCCTGGCAAAGATTCGTTTCTGGCTTCCCGATCTTGCTGGCGATGGTCTGGAAGACAGCGTTGCAGCCAACGCCATGGTTGTACACGACGCCGATCATGATAGAAAACTCTTCCCAGCTACTTGTAACGCTTCGCGATTGACATTCTGCCGTGTTTACATCTGGGACGCATGCTCCATGATCGCAATTCAGTCCGGAAGTGTCTTCATGTACTGGAAGCGCAGTAACCAGAGCCAGCAGTGTGGACAGAATTGCAATGAAGAAATGCATGGTGGGTAGCTGCATTGGTCGTGTTATGCTGCATAGTTCTGGGCTTCGAGTGCGTTCTTATACGCCCGTCACTTCAGCAGTCCACTTTAATCCACGATCGAATCTCGATGCCCTTAACTGGTTCACAAACAGAATTTGGCATTCTGGACGACACTGACTCCTGGAACTTGAACCTTCAGGAGTAACTTACCTGCGGAATCAAAAGTCCAGTACGGAACACCTCGACTGGACCTGCAGAATTGAGGCATTGCGGCGTAGTAGTTCTAGGCATACATCGTCGTGGTGGCCTCCAGCCAAGGAAGAGCATGTCACGGCTGAACGGCTGACAGTTCTGTGTGCGACTCATGTTTTGTCAAGCACCACAGTGCGACGCTCGTGAACTGTAGAACTACGTATCCCCTCGATCCCTTCTGATTCTTTCAGATCTAACAGTACTTCTGCAGATGAATCGCATTGGTGTGGGCATTGGAAGATCTCGGGCCCAGAATACGAAGATGCCGCAACTCTTCCAGCCGATCTCGATCTCAATGTCGCGCTCACTAAAAAAGAAGCGCCTGGGAAGTGCTCAGATATTCGAGGCTACCCAACTTTACGACTGTACTACAGCTGGTAGGATGTTGACATGTACGACACCTACATGCATGCAGTGCCAAGAACTTGGGATGAGTAAGCACATGTCGAACCGTAACAACCGGAGACCTAATCATATGCTGTAGTATTGCCTCATTCATGACAAATGGAACGTATCCCAAGGAAAGAATCTCGACGAAGTCGCTCAAACACTTGCCTGACCCAACCGCAGCTCACGCCGTGGTGATTTCTGACGACAGAACCAAGGCGCTCATCAAGTCGAAGTTTCAGGAATCTCAATCTCAATTGGCGGAGGTGCAGATCCCTCAACACCTTCAAGTTCCGTCCTGTCTCTCTTGTCTGTGTTCAAAGATGTCAAAAACCTGCTTCTCGATGAGAGCCTCTTAGCACTACGCATTAACGATCCCTTATGACCGATGCGACTGACAAGCACAAACATGCAGAACAGCTGGAATATGGACTGGATCGATCCCTTGGACTCTGGATCGCCGTACGACTTCGACATCTGAAAAGCCCTGGGACACAGCATTGCCTTGCATTACGAGCTCAGCAGCCCGGAACCGGGATGACCCTGGTATCGTATCCTACAACTACCATCCCGAGATCTGATTTCAATCTGATCGGCGGACCTTGGTAGTATGAGGACGATACTTCGGAGTTCCATCGAGCAGAAGACTTTGTAAATCAAGCTCCACCGTATGTATCTCTTCCACAATCGCCTCCCTAAATCTCGACGACTGCGAACACGGCACCATCGCTCGCAGCCATCGCCTCCCACAGCATGACTCTCCCCATCGTTAGATTTTTTTTTTGGCCCCGCGGGGACCCTGGATGCTAAAACGTGCGGAGTTCATGGAATCATGTGAACCCGTCCGTCTCTCAAACCGAACAATCTTTTCAATGCTGTGAGATACCTTATTCCTGTGCGAGGAATGAGGTCAAATTGGGTTCGGTGTATATGTATATGTGAAAGGGTAGGTATATACAGAATTCTAATTTTTTTTTCTTACGGGTATTGGATCTTACAAATCGAGTTTTTTGTTAGAGGGTGTGCAGAATTTTGAGGGTATTCGTTGCGGTTGAAACTTGAGGGGATTTATGGGCTGTTTATTGAATTTGGACCTATATGTGATGATTTGGCGGCTAGGATGGGGGGGGAGCGGGGGGGGGGGGGGTTGGATTATGCCCGTTACTTCTTGGATGGGTGAAGAAATGGGGAAATTTAAAAAGCTTGTTGGAATGGGAAAAGGAAAAGGAGGGGAGTTTATTTGTGGTGTGGTGTTGTTGTGCTATGCTGTAACTTTGACTTCATGTTTTGGCATTTCCGCCACATTGACGATTTCCAACCTGCCCGTTGGGTGAAGTTCTTCATCGATATTCCTCTCCGCTGGTCTCGTCTCATCCAGCCATTGACTCTTCACCATCCCCTCACCTCCAAGCAATCTATCGATATTCTGTTTCACAGAAAATACAATGTCCCAAGTGAATTCCTCGTGCATCTTACCCTTCTGATGATCGGGACTGATATCGCTGTCATGTTCGCTCGTCCCAGCAGGTCGGTACGTAGAGATTAGCGGGGGATATGTCGAGAAACAATCGAAAGGTTGGATGTGTCCTCCTCTGTGCGCACAGACGTCGGAAACTGCCGAGTCGTACGGGGATATATTGTTCCTCAGTGCTGATACGAGTTTTCGTGCTCCCGACTGCGTCACAGCATAGGCGAATGTGCAGCTGCCACCTTTTTGTCGGTAGATGAGTCTGGTCGTGTTGGTTTCTACTTCTGGCATTACGTGTGGCTGTGCCCAATGTGAGTGACGGTGTGAGGTTGGTGGTACTGTAACGTCGTTTTCAAGAAAGTAGATTGGTTGTTGTGCTTCTGAGGGTCCTGACTTGCAGTGGCCTGGCCAGAGGAGGTCCCAGCCTGTTCCGTAGGGGGATGTAGTGGAAGTCGTCGATGAGCTTTGGTCATGATCTTGTATGAGCTTGATTCCTGTTGCAAATTGAGACATTTGTGTTTTGAGAGAATAGTCCCAGTCGGCGTCGTCTTCCAAGATCAGAGCTGATTGCAAATTGTTCTCAATGATGTGGTCGAGGACATTCATGTGAGCTCGCCACGAACCCAGTAGAGACATGGCTTGCTTCCACCCTGCAGGAATCGCTTTCTTAGGCACATCCTCGCCCCGAATTCCTGGCCACCATTCGAAGTCGATACCGGTGATGCCAGCAGACAATGCCATCGTATCTCTTTTGTCGGTCCTTCCTGGCAGGCCAATCGCGAAGACTTTCTGGAACTGTTCGTGTCACGTCAGCCGTAATTTTGCAGCGAAAGCGACGAAGCCTACACCAAGAGTTCTGTTGAGTATGTCGTCATGCTGGACATCGAGGTGGGTTGTGGCGAGATGCTGCTCCTCATTTATAGGTGTGTGGCCGACGAGTAAGTATGCGAATATCGTCAATGTCACAAACAGGACGCCTGCGCCCACATAGTAAGGTCGTCTTGATGTTGGCTTCTGCAGGGATAAATTGGCCCATTCTTCCAGTTTGGAGGCCATATCATGCCTTGAGATGGACTCGCTTTCTGACATGGTCAACCAGCAGTGAATTTGAGGACATGAGGTTGAAAGTGCATAGGCACAGGTCATGACGAAGGGTCGACCAGCTCACGCGACTCTCCTGATGAGGTCTCGGCTCGTCTAGGCCTCTGAGAAGGGCTAAGACTACTGAATGCATCAAAGGATCCAGGACGTTCCCAAATTTGACCTAGTGCCCGTGAGTCGATCGCGCGTGGCTTTTCCATGATAATACCTCTCATTATTGATCAGATATCTCGGGCACAGGCTGATGAGGCTGACACGAACTGTGAGAGGAGGCTTCTTGTGAAATGTGAATGACCAGCATCCTGGTGAGGCGTGCACATCTCATCAGATGGCATGTTTGTCGCTGATTTCTTCGCACATTTGTCAACAAGAATGAGATCCAAGAGCAGCAGGACATGCTCCGACCGGAAGCCGCCAGTCGACATGGACGTCTTTCATGAATTTTTGTCATTTGAAGACCAATCCTAGGCCCCTTGATGTCCTGTATAGCTGTGCAACAAACATGGTCATTATCAACCGTTCTAGCCCGCGCCCCTCCACCACAGTTTGGTACTCCTTTTTCCTAGATCGGAAGGCGCACGATGGTTGTTTGGCGGGCCGATTGCCTACCGTAAGAGGAGATCAACGTGCTGGCGATCGATTCGCAACGATTGTTCCATCTTTGCTTCTTAAGAACGTGACGCTGCCTCGTTGACGGTAGTTGTTGTACTTCTGCACGCGAAGGAAGCGTCCCAGCATGGCAGCACGGGAAGGTGTTGGAATAAATAAGAATGTGGTGTTCGAAGGACAAGGTGGAATTGTAGAGTTCAGTAATCGCTTGGTCAGCCAGCCACAGCGGAGCGGACCGACGGCGCCAAGAAACTCCGAAGCCGTTATCTTCGATCTGCTCTGCTCACTGTCATCGACATCGACATCTACGCAACCACAGCTGCTTCACATGATTGCAGCCTCTGCATCCCATGCGAATTCACAGCCTTGCTGCCTGCCATTCTTGAACTGCAGCCTCCCAATGCGGAACCAGCGGATGGGCTCTTCCCTTCCGTTCCGAGATTGTTCTGCATTCCCACGTTGGATCGACAGGAGCATCATCCTTTGAATCCGTCGGCTATACCTATTTTATTGCAGCCACATACGCAAATAGACTTCCCATACCAATGGCGCGCGACGTTACAGACCCGCTAGGTCTCTTGCCATGTGCTTCATCTTATGCTCCACCGCATCACAGCTCTTTATCACCGGCGCAAGAGTATCACCGGCGCCTGCCAGACGCGATGGAACCACGCTCGGGGTGTCGTTGAGAACAGACAGGGTCTACTGACGATATGTAGCATGCTGAGTCTACGAAGAGCGACACGCGAACCCGACGAGTAACACGACTAGCTTCGAGGCGCGACAAGAGATGGGCTGGGTGCTGGGCGCGAGTCCAGAGGTGGAAGAGCGCTCAAGATGGAAGGCGATAGTAGCGACGATGCTGGTCTTTACCATTTTGATGCTGCTTACCGTCTTTTTACGGGTTTGCGTGCGCAGGAGCACAATACATAAGGAAGATTGGATCACACTAGTGACGACGGTATGCAGCCTGAGGCGGATATCAGCAAAGCCAGGCGGCAAACGCTGACAAGCACAGCTCTTCAGCGTGGTATACGGCGCCACAGTCATCATTCAGACTAGGTACGGTCTGGGTTTGCCTGTAGCGCTGCAGCCAAGACAATATGCGCGAGCACACACAATCACGAACTATGCTGCAAAGCCATTCTATCTATGGGCTTTGGCTGGTTTCAAGCTGGCTTTATGCATTAGCTATCTGCGAATGACCAAAGGCAGCACAGACCGGCGGTATCGAGTCTTCATCATCGGCATAGCAGTCTTCTGTGTGGCTATGAACACAATCTACGTGTTGCTCTCCATGTTCAGTTGCAATCCGGTACGTGCGACTGCGAATGAGCACGCTCCTGCTTCTGACTTATTTTTTCAGCTTGCAAAGATGTTCGACACAAGTATCTCAGGCTCTTGTTTGTCATTCGCGCCCATCAACTATGCTATCAGCATCACTGCCATAGTTTGCGACGTGATCATTTTCTTGCTGCCCATACCTTTGATACAGAGACTGCATCTAGACCGTGCTGTAAAGCTTGGGCTCACCATCATCTTTGCGCTTGGCCTACTTACTACAGTGCTTTCGATCATGCGAGCCACGCAGATTGACCGTATTGAGTATGGCGATGGCGATACATCCTACTTTGTGATTCGCAGTGGGCTGGAGCTGAACATTGGGGTAAGATCAAAGGCGGCTTCTTTTCACGCTGCGAATGCACAGAAGATAGACGGGAGTGCTGACTTACCTTCTTCGCAGATCATAACGTCTTGCTTGCCAGTACTTCGCCCGTTGCTTCGCCACGTTCCTCGGAAGATCATATCTCTCTTACCACGCTCGACCGGACATGAGACAGCTCATCCATCAGCTGTCGAATTACCCGGAGACTATCCTGTTACGCAGACCATCGGAGGCAGCCTCTCGCATCACTTGTCAAGCCATTCCGGAAAAGGCTGGAAGAGCATACCACCGCTGCTTCGAAGCAAGCCTTCCCGGAAATTTGACAAAGGTGTAGAGCGGATGACCACGACCATGCGGGGCTCGGACGAGAGTCTTGTATCAGGCGAGCAATCATTTGGCAATCCTTCTTCCCACCCAGAAATGCCTAAGCGAGCTTCCCGACCTTTTAGCATGACTCGGCCCTTGACTAGCACGACCCAGCATTCAGAAACGGAGACTGTGATCACAGGAGGTGGCCGCCAGAGATGGGAATCAGAGAATGGTACTGGAAGGTGGGAAGGCTTCGGAGGCGTAATCAAGACTGTTGAAGTTGATGTCTCGACCCTCCATGCGACCACTCCCACTGCGCCTGCTGACGGGCTCGTCGAGTTTGGCAGAGGGCTTACCAGACGGGATGAATGGGACTTTCCTACTCCGCCAGGGACAGCGAGGACGTATTCCAGCAGCAGAAGCTGTGCAGCGAGCAAGACCGATCAGGACGCAGTGTAATTACTGCTCTGGGTTTGCAAGATAGGATTGTCCATATGTGTCACTTGACAGGTCTCGTCTTGACTTCAAGTTCAAACTATCTCAGCCACGACTATCACTGCGAGAGCCTCTCACTGCTCAGCCCTCGTTATGTGAAGACTCCGTCACTTGGGACAAAAGGTGTAACGCAAAACACAAAGTGAGTAGAGTGAGCATGCATGTGGTAGTCCGTGCTCGTTAAGCTGACCTTCTTCTGAGCGAAGAGACTCACATGCAGTGGCAATGTCTTTGTTGTGATCACTACCGAAGTCCCGTTCACATGCACGCGAATATACATCTCTCTTACCTACCTAATCACTGTCGATCGTTAACCTTCGCGCGCCGTGCGCAACTCTGCGGCCCCCCTCGGAACTCTTTCTGCTACACTAGCAAAGGCTTCGACACTATTCAGTCCCCGGTGGTGAGCACACTTTTATGCTTTTCTCATCTGCCGCAAATCCGGATCGCTTCGAAAGGCGCAATATACCCGTCAACACCCTATCCGGGGCCATCGTTTCTTCGAGTGGGCGACTCGTTAACCGTACTGCACGAACATACTTTTCACCACAAAGCCATTTGAACGCGCATGATGCGCCGCGTTCCGAGCGCCCTGCTACGCCTTGGACTAGGAGTCATTTGGCGCAACTCGGGCTATGCGAGCGCAAAACAGATCTTTGGCCTTCCAGATACCGATTCGAATCATGCTTCGGCAGCCAGTGTTTCATATGGATCTCATGATATTCATTCGCCCATTCCATCGACAACATTGCATCATGATAAGGCTGCGATGACATCCAGGCCGACTAAGCTCGGCGGTGAGGCTGTGACAAGCTCAGCTTTGCTTGATGCACGGCAACAAGAGCCCATCACAGATGCGTGTACAGCGCCGAGTACCATTTATGTTGGTCAAGCATCATGCTTGCCCTTCGTCGCCGACACTACCGGTTGGGTCTGTGTCACATCAACTTCTACGACGACAGGATGCAATATTGGTGGAGACACAATATCCACAACATCGGTATCATCCACTTCAGTCACGGCTCGGTGCGCTCAGACGGGATGCGCTGCCTGCCTCCCACTGACTGATACCCCTCCTACTCCTCTCACCGTGGATTGCAAGAACTGCTCAACCACTGGCGGCTTGGTGTTTGCTGCCCCGATCACAACATTGCCTTCCGACTACAAGAGTGGCCAAGCGATTGCGACAGGATCAACCGCACAGCCTGCCGGATCCGACCCATCAGGCACAGGCCCGGCGCAGTTAGGAGGACGTGATACTGTGATCGAAACAGCACCTGCTGCAGAGAACAGACCCGCGGCTTTCATTCGAGCCATCGAGGACTTTCTTCGAAAAATTGGGCGACATGTTGATATCTTCAACATGGTGGGTCGGAGAGCTCCGGAACATCCAAACTACCAGGCTTTCTCCCTGTCGGCCGTGCCTGCTCAGCCTACCCGGACGCCCGAGAAGCGCTCCCTCATGCAAGCACAAGACTATCCTGGCGGTCACGATGAATTTATGGTCAAAGAAGTCGAGCAAGCTGCAAACGTAGACATGCTTGTTTATCATCGACCGCCCGGCACTGGAGGAAGATCATCTGCTAAAGTCAAGGGCTTCCGCACGAATGCTTTCAATCTGGCCGTCGACAAGCTTAACGCATGCACATCAGTCATGGTCGTATCACGAAAAGGTGGCTACATCTCCCACATATGGGAAGTTCCGACGATGATGGACGAAACGCTATTTCAAGAAGATGTTCTGTTCGGTCTCTTCGAGGGAGATGATTCTGGATACCTACCCGGCATTTCGGACCATTCTCATGATGCCTCGCTCTTCAATACTTTGAAGTTTGGCGAGACTCAGAACCTGGTTCAGCCTATCATTGTCACTCCTTGGATTGATCCATCATTCTGGGGAGATGAGACTAGGCCTTGGCGTTTTATGCATGAGATTCAGCGCACTAAAGATCAGCTGCAGGAAATGTTCCGCGTTGAGCCGATAGTCCAGACGTACAAGCTTCTCGAGGGCGACGATGACCGAACGGTCAAGCAGAAGCTCGAAAATACGGCTCATGGAAAGGTGGTGATTCAGTACGATCCTCGCCAGTATTTGCCTACAGAGGAGGTAATAGACGCACAAGGGCAAAAGCATACGTGTGTGAAGCAATATGCTGCACTACGCGTCTATGCCGATGTCAAACAGGAGCCGATCTACGAGGATACGTGGCTAGCAATGCCAGAGCAGGCTTCCGAATGGGATCCAGAAGTCGATACTCAGCAGCCGCTCAAGTTGCATAAACTTCGAATACGCGATGAGAGTCAGCAGATTGTCATTTACGGTTGCGTGAAGCTGGACCCGGACGAGTCATCAGGGTGCAGTGCCTGCACGTCTGAAGGAGGCTGCAGCTTGGATCCCGATGATGACCAAGGACAGAACGGAACGCCTGCCACGAGCGCTTCGACATGCCCGGTATGTACCTCAAGCATGTGCGGTCTCGATCCGAATGATGACCAAGGAGAAAACGGAACGCCTCCCACCAGCGGGCCTTCATGTACGGCTTGCACATCTGGTACTTGTGGTCTCGATCCCGACGAGTCGCAAGGCGAAGACGGCCGGCCACCTTCAATGGGCAATGGCACAGCTCCGCCTTGCTCGTTGATCACTGCGACTGCTGGAATGGTGAATGGCACTTCGTATCCTGGCGGATCTGCTTGTGGCTGCGGGAGTAGCATAGGTCCAGTCCGCACAACGACCGGCAACGATGGCATGATGACATTCTTCTGCTCGAACGGCCCTTCCAAGACCGCAGTCAGCACAGCTAAGCCATCACAGTCCTGCTCCGTAGTCACCCAGCCCGGCGGCGTCATCAACAATGTGTGGGTGCCTTCCAGCGAAGCTTGCGCTTGCGGCTCTATGACTACAGATCTTGTGACGCAGCTCGGCTGGAATGGATCTGAGACCTTATACTGTGGTAATGGCACGAATGCTGTGGCCATCAGCACAACCACGCAATCCGCTACAGCAGGACTCAGTGGGTGCTCGATCAGTTCGCAGCCAGCACAGACTATCAGTAGCGTCGGGGTCGTGACTCTTCCCGCAAAGGAGACTTGCAATTGTGCTGGTGGGCGACAAGCTCCGGTCACGACTTGGAAGAATGGCAACTCTTGGTACATTGGCTGTGCCTACTCTTCGACTGCTGTGGTTCTTTCGACTGCGGCGGGCCCATTCATTACTTCCTGCAATGTTACCAACGAGGGTATTGTCACACAATCGTCGGGCAGTACCAGGAGCCGAGGTTGGATGTGCCACTGCAATGACGGCCTCACTACTCCGGCTGAATCATCGACCTTCGGGGAGGGCATTGGGTATGCTTGCCCTACGGCTCCGTATGCCAAGCCAGTCACAACCGTGCCTATCTCTGGATGCAAGCCATCCCACATCGAGCCTATGACATTTGCACTGAGTGGACAGCCCACGACTACATACACTGATCACTGGACTTGTGGTTGCGCCAATGGTGGAAATGTCGATGCCATAACTTCCAGTTTGGACCATTTTGTCACGGCTGTGGGATGTGCTACCAACATGTTCGAAACGTCCTACGTAACCACAGCGATCCAGACTCCAGACTCATGCACAATCACTCGGAACATCAAAGGCCCTTTCTGCCAGTGCGATAAAAGCCGTGCTGGATCACTGGTCACAACGAGTGGCAACTACTATTGCACGCTTGATGGTTACGCTCAGAGCAGCACCACTATCCCAGGCCCAACGGTGACCATGACGCCTATTGATAAACCCACACCAAAACCGACCCAGACTTCTTCTTCTGAGCCCGAAATCGCGGAGGATACTTGCAGACTGCATGTGCGTCAAGCGTTAAGAAGTCATGAGGGAAATCCGTACAGTCCTCACACTTTCGTCAATGTCACTGTCTCCGACTGGGCGCAGCGCGAATTCTTCAACGAGCAGCACACCTTGGACTTTTGTGAACCCCCATTCATATACTACACAGCTCCTTTCTCGAACTGGGCGCTGGTGCATAACCTGACTGTCGACATCTGCGCAGACAAAGATAATCTTGTCAAATGGGGCTTGGACAAATACGTCGTCCACAACAATTTTTCCAACTTCACCCATCTCAAGGATCTCAGCAACGAACATGAAACGAATCCATACATCTATTCGCTAGAAAAGATGGTCACTTTTGGTGATGTCAAATGGAGCTCTTTGATGAACAAGGACAGCAGTGATCCGCAAAAACCACACTGTAGCTTAGGAGGCTGGGCCGAAGGTGATGTGGAAATCGACGGGACAACATATGATCACACTCAGGACTTTGACTGCTGGTTCCCGTGCGCGATTATGAGACTTCATACGCCTGACAGCGCCCCACCACCGAATCCTCTCGATATTGGTCTTGGCGCCGACGTGTCCCCACCAGTCGCTTCTGGTGAATGCAAACTTCATCTGGATGAGTGGACCAAACCTACAGGGGACTTCGGGGATAACCCTGAAGTCAAATGCAACATCACAGTATGGGGCCCATCTGGTGCCGTGCTCTGGCAGGACGAGCGTATCCGTCATTTCCACGATGGTCCATTCCCCCTCGTTAGGCCTGACACGAATACTGTGGTTACATCAACCTACCGAACTCTAGCGGAGGTCATGACCCTTGATCTTGGAGTCGGCAACGGGCAAGGCACGTATACATCATACCAACAATATTCCAAAGGTCTTACTTACGGCGATCTCGCCTGGACGGCTGACCTCGACTTCAAAGTCATTCCCCCACCTTACTGCTGGCTGGGAGAATTCGGGGTACGGAATATGGACATATGGAACGATGATTGGCGTCAGCGACAGCTTATGGACTGCTGGTTTCCTTGCGAGGTTGTTGATGTGACGCCGAAGTATCCTAAAATTTGCGCGGAGAATCCTGCGATTTGTGGATTGACTTCGCCCCCTGAGCTCACGGTAGATGTGTAATGCGGGATGGGATGGGATGGGATGGGATGGGGAGAAAAGAAAATTGGTCTTGAGCTTTAGAAAGATTTGCCGTGGGGGGAAGACGAGCGAAGCGAAGTGACCTATCTGCAGGGTCTGCGCGAGGACGGTCTGAGAATTCTGCATGCTGAAAGGAGTATCGATCTTTTTGAGCGTTGAGAGCGAGCGTTGCTTGCTTTTCTACACGACAGGCTTTCTCGAACAACATCTACCCTTCCACATACCCACACTAACCTTAGATCTCGAGAACCTCTGCGCATCCTCTCATTCCGAAAATCCCAAGAATCCAAAAAAAACTCCCCCCCAAAACTTTCCTCGAATTCTTTACGAAAAGAATACATTATCTACAGCCCCCACCGAGCGAAGAGCCTCCCGTCATTTCGCTCGCGCCTCTCTGGGTTTGCAAGCTCCCAAGACCAAAGAAATTTTATATCGGAAGCGAATTGTGCAGTGATAAATCGAAATCGGGGGAATGGCTGAGGATTTGGTGGGCAGGAGAAGGAAGGAATCTATTAGACGGGGCGTGGGAGGGGAGGGAGAATGTCAGCGAACTTGCATGTGATCATCCATTCCATACGTACGAGAACGGTACTGGACGGCTCGTATCGTGATATTCGGTTACGAGTTGTGTAACACGCCGGGGACATGGCACCAAGACTGTACACTGTACATCCCGTCGGGCGTTTGGTGGCGCTGTTGAGATTGAAGGAAGATGGGGTCATGACTTATGAACGAGTAGAGTTTTATAATCTCGGCAGAAAAAAATGAAGGCGCTTTGCTTGGTTCTTGATGACCTCAAATAGCTATACCAATTCGTTCCATGCAGCGTTAAAAGACGGATAAGTAGGATAATGCACGGAACATTGCCCACGTCGTAGCAATTATAACAATAACAGGCATGAGTAAGCTGAACAGCGCTCTACGGTCCGCTGTCCAAAACACCGGAACCGGTTTATCAACATCGCCTTCCCCATGAGTCTGGAAGCCAATGACTGGTACGTATTTGAAGTCAAACACAGATAAGCGTCCTAGTCCATTTTTCTTCTCATCAAGAACCATTGACCACAGTTCGCGTCTGAAGGTCCGAATCTGCCATCTATCGAAGAGAGGGATGCTGCGATTGATGTAGCACATGGCGGCGAAGTAGACAGTCTGGCCGGCTCGCAAAGCCCAATAGTAGGGTGTCGGGCGGCTGATGTCCATAGCGTCCGCGAGCTCGTTTCCATTCAGCCAGCGGAGGTTGACCTCTATCAGCGCTCTCGAAGCGTAGAATGGAGGCTCAAGCTCAAGCGCACGGATCATGTTCCAGGCGAGCATTTTCGAGGTTGGTGTTGGGTTGTAGCTGTAGAGAAGATTGATCTCCATGATGGCCTTGGCTTTCTCAGGTGTTGCGAAATGGTCTGTTGGCACACCCATGTATAACCCAACAAGCCGCCACAGTGCCAGGTAGTCGAGAATCTCCTGAGGTCGCAAGTAGATGCCTTGCCTGGGGAGTCCTCCCCAGATCAAGTTTGACGAGAATGCAGCAATAGTCCCGATGGAGTCCGCATCGTTGACTGGTACGCCATGCTTCTCGGCGGAATAATATGATGGGCGAGTGGCGGCGAGTTGCATAATTCGGCGGCGTACTCGTGCATGCAGGAATCGTACGCGGAGTGCCGTTGCAAAACCAGCACCGCCAGGTCGAACGGAGGCCAATGACTCGGTGACTTGCAGACTGAATTGCTGGGTTTCGAGCAGACGCCTACGAGCTGCCTTGACTGCGAAGCCGCCGGTCCTGGTCAAGACCTCGGAAACATCGCCACTGCTCCCAGTACCTCCGATCAGGCTTTGATATGCTAGGGCAGTGAGTGTGGCGGCTCCATATCGGTAGTAAAGGTCCTGGCCTCGAGCGATCTGCTCCCAGTCGACCCAAGGAGGAAGCTCGGTTACTTCTGACCAGAGTCGAGAAAGTGTGGGATCTTCCGCATGATGTTTCTCGAGAAGAGCATAAGCATCAATTGGAGAGGACGGTTTGGCATGGGCTGGAGCGAATTTCGATTCAAGAATGTCCAGACAGTCCTCGGCGAGTTCGTCGTAGGTCATTCGGAGGCGGTTGTATTCTTCTCGCGAGAGGTGGTCTGCGGTCCAGCGGAACCGGTGGCCCCAAGTGACATGTACCTCTCCTTGACCAGGTGTTGGGCCATGGTGCTGCTTTTGCTGCGCAGACATATCGCGTCATGAATGAGATACTTTGGCCGGGAAGTTTGGATTTTTCGAAGCATCCCCAACATCTGAAGCCATAGAGGTGAGCTGTATTTAGTTCTACCTGAGATGGCTGCTGACGGCGCATAGCTGAGTCAATGTGGCCGCGACCACTGCAAACCGCAGCTACACCGTAGCGAGGCGGCATCGGCATCGGCATCGGCATCGCTTGATGCGAGTCAACGCGTTCACATGCGGCCTTGGATTATTACTGTTATACCGCCGGGAGGAAGAGCAATGTTGGTAATTGCACGCCCTGTCTGATGCATATGAGAAGGCGTCCAGGTGAAGTGATGGTGTAGATTGGCCACAAGACTTGGTCCGGGCGGGTCGGGGCGGCCACAACTTTGGCATCACGGCATGCCTGCGCTGATGCAGGGACAGTGGGACACCATGTGCTTAGCCGTCATTGCAATCTACCAAGTTGCAACACACGTGAGACGACAAGATACCGGTATGCGGTAGAATCCGAACAGCGCGGCCAGCGACAGCGACACATCTCGACACAGCAGACCTCATACCTCCATCTCACCATGAACACAACCCTTGCGTCGCTGCAAGCCGGCGAACTCCCGACCACTGCGCTCGCCTTCATCGACAATGTTGCTGCCTCCTTACAGAAGATCCCAGGTTCCTCCATTGTAATACGATACATCCGTTCATCATACCAGAATGATCCCGTGCGAAGCGTCGTCGAGCTCTTCTTGTTCCTCTTTGCCGTGAAATACTTCTTGACGCCTACATACAGCACCAAAAAGGGGAAGAACATACCGCTGAGCGAGTATGAGATTGACGAATTGGTGGAGGAATGGCAGCCAGAGCCATTGGCTGGCGAAGAGACCGATTTTGAGCGACACGAAAACGAGAAAAGACCCATCATTGCTGGGCCAGCAGCACCCAAGGCCAAACTCACCAACGGACGAACGGTAACGAATCTTGCCAGCTACAATCACTACAACTTTGCCGCCAATCAAGATCTTACGAACAAGGCCATCAACACCGTGCGCACATATGGTGTTGGTCCCTGTTCACCTCCTGGCTTCTACGGCACACAGGACGTGCACATGAAGAGCGAGGCAGATATCGCTGCGCATCTAGGTGTGCCGGCTGCGATTATCTATGCCCAGAGCTTCTCGACCATCAGCAGTGTGATACCGGCATTCAGCAAGAGAGGCGATATCATTGTTGCCGACAAGGCTGTAAACTATCCTGTGCGCAAAGGAATACAAATCTCGAGAAGCACCGTCTACTGGTACGAGCACAACGATATGGAGGACCTCGAGCGCGTGCTGCAAAAGGTGGTCAAATCAGGTCAGGGCAAGCCATTGACGAGACGGTTCATCGTAACAGAAGGACTGTTTGAGAATGTTGGAGACATGGTGGATCTGCCCAAGATCATCGAGATGAAGTTCAAGTACAAGTTCAGAATCATTCTTGACGAGACTTGGTCATATGGCATTTTGGGAAGGACCGGCAAGGGTGTGACTGAACATCAAAACGTGGATCCTAACAACGTCGACATGATCATTGGCGGTCTTGCTGGTGCCATGTCTAGTGGCGGAGGTTTCTGTGCAGGCACGGAAGAGGTCGTTGAACATCAGCGTCTGTCTGCTGCGGCCTACACGTTCTCTGCAGCGCTTCCTGCATTCTTGGCCACCACTGCGTCCGAGACAGTCACAATACTGCAAGAAGAGCCAAGCATCATTCAGAATCTACGCGAAAACATCAAGGCAATGCGAGCGCAATTGGATCCGAGGAGCGACTGGGTGCAGTGCACAAGCTCGCCCGAGAATCCAATCATGCTTCTCACGCTCAAGGACCAGCACGTCCAGGACCGTGGCTTTACGAGAGCAGAGCAGGAAGCGGTGCTGCAAGATTGTGTGGACGAGGTGAGTACATTGATAACTTCTATTACAGCTACATACCTAAACTTCGCAATAGGCCCTCAATAACGGCGTTCTTATCACACGCCTCAAGTCCATGCCTCAAGCGCTCGGCGTGGCACCCAAAGACCTTGAGAAGGAATGGCAGGCCAGACCCGCTATCAAGGTCTGCATCACCACCGGTTTGACCAAGAAAGAGACAGAGAAGGCTGGCATCATCATCAGACATGCGATCACCTCAGTAATGAAGAGCAGAAAGTGGACCAGATAGCGGCACCGAATCATAGGCTTGGCGTTTGGATGAAATGGAGCATTGAAAGTACGGTCGAGGCCGGAAGCATGTATAGCGATTATAGGAGATGTAATATGAAGAGTCTTTTCAAAAGAGTTAACGTTCGCTCGTTGATGTATATTCTACCTGCTAATATTTGACGTGCAGTACATGAAGGCACAACTCACATGCGGGCCCCGACTGGCACCGTGAGAGCTCAAACCTTGCAGCGCGCCTTCCACATGTACTTGCTGACTTGAAGACTTCACTTTCCATCTGACATGATTCGAGCGGAGCGACAGATCCAACAGGCACCTAGAGTAACCTAAGCGAGCGAAGCGAGTAAATAGTTATAGAAGGTGTCTAGTGGATCTGGCGTAGAGCTCGAGAACAAATTAGATTAGTGCTATATAACGTATATATATACGATTAGTTAGTAAATATAGTATTAGCTAGTAACCGGCCCTACACCTATAGGCTAGTTTTAAGCCTATATAAGAGGCCTCCTTCTATAGAGTAGACAGATTATTAACCTCGTATAGCACATTGTTTATATTACGCTCCTATAATACCTATATTATAGGGCTCTAGTTATTAGCCTAAGCGACAGTCTCGTTATCCTATCTTACTAAATATAGCTACCTATATTACTATAGGTTATATTACCCTCGGTAGCCTATACTATTGCTATAAGTAGTAGTAGTAGTATTAGTTTCCGTCCTTTATTAAAGCCGAAGGTAGGGCTATCTCTTTATATCTAACAGGTTCGGGTATATTAAAGGTAGTCTCTAGGTACGAATAGCTATAACCGAAGCGAGGGTACGATAAGAGCCTATAATATAGACGATACTAAAGTATCTTAAGGGGCCGTTACGATAAGTAGAGAAACCTCTTAACGAGGGCATCGCTTTAACTCCGAAAAGCTACAAACCCTTAGGACTATTACAGCTTAGGGCCTAGTCTATAACTATAGCTAGCTTCTAAGGACTTAGCTCCGGGTCGAAGACCTATTTAGTACCGCTTACTCGAGATAAGCTACCGCCTAGCCTAAGAGAGGGAGATAGATTAATTACCTATCGACCTTAGCGGGCCCCGCTAAGACTATCTATATAATAGCAATTTCTAGATTATAGGTCGGATGCCTAGACAGTTCCCCTATTAACCGGGTAGATTGTTTCGGGATTCGCTACCTCGTTCGGATAGTACTTAGCCTTCTACTAGAAAAAGAAGGTCCCCGCCCCCTACCTAGCTAAAGGAGATAACGATAGTTAGTAAAGCGGCTAGTTTCTAGGATCTAGGTATAAATAGAGATTGTAGTTCCTTCCTCCGAGCGGCTTTTATCTAAGTTTACTAAATTAAAGCTCCTAGAGGTGTCTAGGCGACCCCTAGGAGGCCAAACTCTAATGCTACCCTAGGGGTAATATTAGAAGAAAACAGCCTAGTATACTATTTTCTCGTATAGTAATATCGAAACAAGCTAAACCTACAATATATACTAAAAACACTTTCCTATAGCATTTTATTTTAACTACTTTATAACAATCGAATAAGCTCTAGCGAAAGCGAGTATTACGAATTAGCGGAATCTTCGGAATCTAATAACCTACCGGACCCTATTAACGAAGAAATTAGGCGACGACTAGTTGTTATAAGCGCTATCGACCTAGGGGCTATCGAGCCTTCTATGCCCGAGGCTCTCTATAATATCGTTATAAAGATAATCTAAGGGCAAACTAAGCTTCTCCGTTAAAACAGGCGTCGCCTACTAGAGCTAGGTAGCGGTAGAAACCCTTTATTCGAAGGGTAGAACGCTACGGCGTACGTAGAACGCTTTAAGGACAACTTAGCTAAGTACGGACTCGAAGAGAAGTCGGACTAGTACAAGGTCTAGTCCCTTACGAGGACTACTATTACTAAGCTTTACCGAACCCTTAGAACCCTAGTTAGCTACCTAGAAAAGGACGACAAGTCTAATACCGACTAGGAGGTCTTTAAGTAGGCCTTTATAAGGGAGTATTAGGATCGCGATAGCCGTTATATTAAAGGCAGTCGTACGTAGCTTAAGAACCTCTATATAGAGAGGCGCACCGAAGATAACGACCTAAAGGAGTACGTCCGCGAGTTTGTTAAGTTAGCAGACGGTATCGACTAGTAGGACCTCGAGAATTCTTAGAGAACGAGGCTACTCCTTAAAGGGTTACCGTAGTCTACGGCTAAGCGTGTCTTCCGTCGCTATAAGCTTAGCAAAGCTAATCCCGAGACCTTTAGGAAGTATAAAAGGTCCTAGAGGCTATTAAAGACGATATTAATAGCTCCGCCGATACGAAGAAGTTTATTTACGACGAGGACCGGAATAACCTAGCTTAGGTAAAGAGCGACGCCTCGGGAAGTAAGGGACCTAAGTTCCTTCCTAAGTTATAGAGCGGTCCTAAGACCGTAACTCCTACTATTACTAAGCACTCTTAGGACGTTACGGACTTAGCTAAATCCCTAGCCTAGCTCAACCTTAATACGAAAGCACTATAGCGAGTTAGGGAAGTTATTAATACTAGCATACTAAAGGATATACTACCGGTCTACTAGGTTTCCGATCCTAACTACCCTAAGGCCCCTTTAGTTAACGTCTATACTATACGGAAGATCTATTCTAACTTAGATAGCAAGTGCTAGATATACGGCGGTTTTAAATATGTTTAATTAGACTGCCCTATCTAGAAAGAGCTTCTTAAGAGGAAGCTCGTTACACAAGCAAATAGTCGGTTCTACTATACCGATACCGGCGATAAGATTAACTTCGAGTAGGATCGTAGAGCTCCGAAGCTGCCTTAACTTAGGAGTCTTCTAGAGAAGAAGTATAGTAGCAAGATCGAGTTTAAGGATACTAGGAATAGTACCCTCGCCGCTATTACTAAACGAGAAACTTAGAAGGTTAGGGCAAAATAGGTTAAGGAGCGGAGTAGTAACGGTACTACTAAGCCTACTAAAGTCAAGGGTCCTAAACTTAGTCGTCCTAAACCTAGTTCTAGGGCAAGGGTAAGAGCCCGTAGAACCCTACCCGCTCTAGTACGGCAGCCCCTACTAGGATACTTAAGAAGCAGGTAGCTAATAAGGCTAAGAAATAGCGAGAATTAGTCGCTAAGACTAAGATACTCTAGACAGCTAAAGACCGTACAATCCGAGCTAGTATAGCTACTCCGGAGGTCCTAGAGACTCTAGATATTAATATAGAGGATAATACTACCGACCTTAGTAGTACCCTAGGCCTAGCTAACCCGCCGGCCTATAAACGAAAGTTAGCCGACCTAAAGAGCTTTCGCTTTAATAGGTATATAAAGAAGTATAGTGCCGGGCCTACTAACTCCTACGATATAAAGGCAAATACTCTCTTCTAGGCTTTATAGTTCCTAGACCTTAAGTCTAACGTATCTATAGGAGAGCTATTAGTATATAGTTTGCCTACTAACCTATTCTAGAGCCGAATCCCTAACGATGCTACCTTTATAAAAGACCTCGCAGCCCTCCGATATAAACAAAGGCGAGAGGACTATATCGACGTCTCTTCCCTATAGTTCCTTCCTAAATTTTTAGAGGCCTAGGAGTTAGTAGAAGGCGAATTAGTAACCTACGAGAGCTAGGAGACTATCGATAATACTAACGAAGAGGGGATTAAAGAGATAGGCCGAGGGGATAGTAATAATGCCGACCCTGCTTCGGTTTTAGTTTCTATTAAGGCTGTCCGATTTACTAGCTAACAAATCGGTCGAGTAGGACCTCCTCGACCTAAGGAACTTTACTCTATCCCTAATAATATAGACCTTTCCGCAGTTACCCGTTCCTTTACTGTCGTTCCCGCTATCTATATTTAAGTTACTATCGGAAGCTATATTTAGTAGTTGCTAGCAATACTTAATAATAGTTTAGAGTTACTTATTATAAGTAAGCGCTAGGCTAAACAGCTCCGACTGCTAATAAATAGAGATATTTCCCTTAGTATATAGGAAGTAAATAGAGAGGTTACGCTAGTAGGTGCCTACTATAATATTATAGTAGACGCTTTCGGTATATGCTTTTCCTTTACCTTCTAGATTGCCGCTAACCCGAATACGCTAATTATTCTAGGTCGTCTATAGTCTCGTATAACCTAGGGTATCTAGCGCAACTGCGACGATAGCTCCTAGGAAGGAACTATCGCTAACTAGAAGGGCAACCGAGTCGTATTTACTAGTTATATCGGAAACACTAGCTACAAGTCCTACGAGGATATCCTTACTACTTCTAAACGCTCTTCGGGAAACGCTATAGCGCGGTTATAAGACCGGTAATCTGCGCTATAAGTTAATATAGCTTAAATAGATTATATCTAGAGGTACGCCGCTCCGTACGATAAGGCTAGTTTCTAGGCTCTATACTAAGGAGACGAATGCTCGAAGCGATAGCGAGTATAATAGTATAACGACTACCTAGTATACGAATCTCGGTAATAATGCTATCGTAGGTATCGCCGCCGGAAGCGGATCTACCCGAGCCCGAATCCGAACTAACTAATCGGAGCGCCGATCGAATACTACCCTAGGGGTATTATTAGGAATCTAACGTTTTCGCCGGAATTATAAATTAGGATTACTAGCTATATACCTACTAACTTAAGGAGACTTCTAATAAAGTTTACGCGCTGTTCTATTACGCTAATCTCCGGGCCTAGCGTAAAAGAGAGAGGGCTCGGGTATTACGAGCGGTTAGTATATATACCCTATATAAGAGGGTAGCTAACAAGATTAAGCCCGTAAAAGGCAGCGTATATATAACTAATAGGTCTAATCCTAGCGGAAATCCTAACTAGCGATAAAAGTGCCTTAACCGCGAAGCGATATTAATATCTAGGGATAGTCTATACGACTAGAGGTATATTACTAAAAAGTTCTCTACTATTCCTAGGGGATTAAGGCTAACGCCGGAGAGACTAGCGAATATTAAACCTAGTATCGAGCTTTCGGATCTTAAACTAGATTTACTATACGAGCTTCTATACAACCGTAAAGCCGTATTAGTATATAACTTTACGTATCTAGGTAGGATCAATCCGGAGGTTGCCCCTCTATAGAGGATCCGA